GGGGGGAGGGGGGGGGCTTCGACCTGAAAGATCAGGGGTTAGGATTTGCACCCGATCGAAAGAAACCTTGCTATCGCAAGAGTAACTCCAGCTAGCTTCGCTAGCTTTCGTGAAAAGGTAACTTTTACTTAAAGAAGCAATATTTCTTCTTTTTTGAGTATGTATTTTTCAAAAATAGACGGTGTAACAATTCTAGCACTTTTGGTTTAGCTGGTATGCATAATGTTGTATAATATAATCTTGTGGCCCAGAAATGTGGTTTCTTGTGATGCTAGGTACGGGTGGATGCCCATTTTCTTCATGGGAATTTCCATGCCCCCAAACAAATTCACCTCACCCCCTCAAGGAAACCAGCCTTCCAACTGCGCCAGGCTCTGCGCTCGCTTGTTGTTCCGTCTCGAAAATGTCGTCCAATGGACGTGCTTCGAGAGTCGGCTCAAGATGAACAAGAGCAAACCTTGCGCATCCAACTCGCGCGAGGCACCCTCTTGAGACCAAATGCAGTGCAATTGTGGCCCCGAAGCACCAAACCTGTGGGTTGGGCAGTGCCGAGCAGCCATCTGCGATGGGTTGGGCACATGTTTGGCGCCAAATCGGGGTTAGATGGACGATGTTGAAGCCACATCTAAAGTTGAGGAGGAGCATCACTAATCATGCCTGAAGCTTCTACGTTGAGAGAGAGAAATAAAGGATGGCCCTCATGCATGCTGCTTGATGGCGAATCCCTAGTCTGAATCCTCAGTTGATCAATTTTACTGCAGTCGGGAACCCATCTCCAAACAAGGTTCCAGGTTGTTCACATGCAGGCACAAAAATGATGGACGGCAAATCATCGCCATCCTCTCTAAGCTTATGACGAGTCATAGAGGCCCTCCCTCCCTCATGGGCTTGCATCGCATCTGGGGCATCCCCAAAAACATGACGGCTTTATGTTGTACTTGGCAAGATCCCCAGAAACAGTGGATAATGATGATTTGCCTTTTTCTAACATACAGTAATTGTGTACCGACTGTTACAGGTAATAGGACAAAAACCAAATGTATTATATATCCAGAACACACGCATCTTATAGCTAGGCACTGCAAGTGCTGGTTTTACCATGTTTTACATGTCTTTTACTCCATAGAAAACTTGACAGCATCTGCACCAGGACGCCATGCAAACTTTGTACAGGACTTGATAGACTTCGGCACGACCAGCAGCACTTGATGCTCAACGGTTCCCTTGGACAGCAAGGCACGTCTCAATCTCGCGAGCCATGCCTCAAGGAGCCAAGCCTCTCACCAGCTTGGTGAGGGTTTCTCAGAAGGGTTTAAGAGTGGAACCAGCTTTGTGAAAATGGGATATCCACTGGAAGTTAGACCTAGGGGGGGATCTAGGGGAAAGTGGCGTTATTCTTGGGTGTCCGATTCTTTATGCTTTGGCTCCGTCAATCTATATAACTTAACCAAAAAATGGTAGCTACAGTATGACTCAGATGACTTACTGGCACAGCTCCTCATCTCAATGAAGGAATACTGTATCTCAAAGATGCCCCGCAAAGTAAACTGGGTTTCCCAAGGGGTGCATCTACCCACCGCTCACCACGGGATCCGCGTGGGTTCCCTGGTTGTTTCGTTCCGCCGTTCCGAACCGTCGATTCTCTGAGCTTCGGCCAGGTCGTCACTGGCGAGCTCCGCTCCGACGTTGCTCACAAAGACCACTCCAAAGGGTCGTTCCCCGGAGTCCAAGGCCTCCCGCCGTGACCCCGGCGTCTCCACGCGTGGAGACGCGGCTCTTCGGCTTAGAAACACTCCGGTCCGTGGGTGCATTGGGAGGAGTGGACCAAACACGCCAAGTAGAACGCTGACTGACTGGGCGACATGGCAGTTTGGGTGGAGCGGTTTTGATGCACTCCATGGCCCCATGCTCCAATGGTCCAGAGAGTTCCAAGCCCTCCCTCAACTCTATAGGTTCATAGTCATCTGGGTTAAGACCTGCTTCTATTTCAGCTTTGCAAGAACTACTAATAATACTAGTAGGGTTCTTGCTCCTAGTAGCGATGCCATTCGTTACTAGTTACTAGATGCTACCAGTAGACGGCCCGCCCGAGCCTGGAGCAAAAGAGCTTCGTCCAGGCGGGGCTCGGGCTCAGCAGGTGTCAGTACAAAGCTGTGATGACGTTGCGCGCTCAGTAGGGAAAGCAAACTCCTGAGATGGTAACCATCACTGGAGCAAGCTTCGGCATCTCCCATTTATCTCACCATCTCTGATTCATTCTAGGAAATGTGGCTTCAAATGGTTTAGATCGGGTGCGGGAAACCCGTGTCAAAGGCCAGCCAAGTGTCCAAAGTGGCCAAGCGTTGTACAGCAGCTTGGACAAGTTGGCTTGGCCCCACCTGAGTGGGTGCGACCATCCAAAACATCTGCAGCATCTGAACACCTGGGCCCAAAGACCCGAGTTCTAACAACTGAAAACCTGATCCTTGACATCTACACAATGGCAAACATCAATCACACTCATACACGAACACTTTGCAAAAACATCAGCATCAGCATAAGATGCTCACACCGCCAGCGTTCAAAGAAAGCATCCCGAAATGTGGGTGAATGTTGACGCCCTGAAAGCTCATAGAACATGGATCTATCAAACTATCACCTAACAGCGAAGGGGGCAACAAACATTGTACGAACTTGAGCCAGCAGTCCAGCAGTTAAGATGGGCTTTTTGGAGCTCCCCGGAAACCCTCCGATTCATTCGTTCCCCTTTTTGCTTCACTGAGGACCTTCCAATTCTCATCGGTCCTTCCACTGAGTCTCACGTCGAGTGACAAAAGGAGCTCTTGGGCCTCTTGGTCCAAAGAATAAACCTCCTCCTGCTTCTGCTCCTCATCATGTCCAATGCAGCCTCGTTATTTGCTTGAGGATTTGCGCCGGTCCTCTGGTTGCTCGTAGTGAAAATTCGGAGCTACTATATATATTATATATATACTGGGGTCTAGTGACATAGGACTTACGGTTCTAGTGACATAGTCAGCTGGGATAGCCAACTCCTGAGTCATGTGCCTGGTCAAAAGGCGTGTCTATATGCCTTTACCCCCCCTGAGGGAGCAATCAAAAAATTAAAAAAAACATATGCTGAAATCAATGTGTCAGAGAGAAATCACATGCATCATGACATGAGCAGTTGGCACCTTTTTCAACACCCCTTGGTTCCTATGGCAGTTTTCAAACACAGGTTTCCAGCACAGGTCCTTAGTCATTGTCCCGGAATCCTTGTTTTCCATCGTTTTAAGGATTTTTTCAAACCTGCTCTAGAAGTCCTGTTTTGCAATATTGTGCCTGATGACTTAGGCCAAACGTGCTTTCTAGCTTTCTACCAGATTTACTTTGCCTGATGACTTGGAACGCTCTAATTTTGACGTACCTCCGTTAACTCCTTAGTCATTAGAACCTAGTATATATATATATATATGGAGCCATATGAGCGTCTGTCAAAACGTATGAAGCAAAGGGCATGATGCACGAGCAGGTGATCGCCTATGAGGGGGCGATGCTCGTGCAGGTTTTAGCTACGTCAACATAGCTGAACATATCATCCACAAACTGTGGAAATATGGTCCTGTCGCTTTTCAGGGGGGGCCTGTCGCTTTGGCAGGTTTTAGCTCAATTCCTGAGATGAAAACGACCGCTCTACGAAATTAATCATTGCACGTGCAATGCCGGTTGCTCATATTGATTCATGGTTTGGAGTTTTTGGCGGTCAGCAGCAGTTGGTTCCTGTCGCATTTTGGCAAGCCAAACATATAGCCAAACGTGGTGCAAATGTGGTCAACTGCAAGTAGAACTATCCCAAGCTCTTCAGTTCACGCCAAACCAACAGTCAGCAACCATCCCAGGCACGTATCAGCTTCATTGCCATCACCCCTGAAGGGCACTGCGCTCGCTTGGCCGGGCCAATCAAACCCGCGGAAAAGGCTACGCGCGCAGAGTTGGTCCATTCGAAGGCTCCCGCACGCCTCAGAAGGTGTTCCAACTACGGAGGGTTCAAGAGAAAGAGGTGACCTCCAACCTAATAGCGATGGCCTCCACTCTAGTAGCGATGGCCTCCAACCTACTAGCGATGACCTCCACTCTAGTAGCGATGGCCTCCAACCACCAATTCTTCGACTTTGGATATGACTAGTCCAGTCACACCGAAAAGTTAAACCGTACTTGAAGGGGCACTATCTCATTGTGGATTCCACAATGGTCTCCCTCAATATCATGGAAATTATTAGGACAATGGCGGCTTTTGCATGCTTGCAGGTGCACCGGTTCCCGTCAAATTGCTGCTGCCAAATGCCGCGCCTTGTTGAACTTCATTAATTAATTAGCTCCCCTTTCTGTTCTGACTCGGAATTCTGCTCCGGCTAGAGCATGATGGAATGGGGACAACGGGGCATGACCGTCAGAAGTGCAACAAGGAATTCAATGTTTGAGTTTGAGTTGATGTCAATTAAGGTCTCCTTCTCGTGCCTTCTATTGGCCACAAACCGCCAAAACTTCAGGAACACTTTTGGGCAAAATTAAGATTTACACTGGCAGCGGGACACGTGCCAGGCTGCCATACCTATACTAGTGAGTGTTCCATACCTTACATTCCGAGGATATCCAGCATGATTACAGCCAGTCTTTTCTAGTCTCTTACCCCATCGCATAGCACTTACCGTTGAGCTCGGTCGGGACCTCCGGGTGCCGAACCTGGCGGTTCGCCTCTCTTCGGACGACCGCAGTTCAGGGCTGTGGGGGCCATGCATCCAAAAGCATCCTTACCTCAGTACCCTGACCATCCATGAAATAGTTATACACCTGCATTGGGTGTGTGTTACACATGGGGTCAATGTAAGGAACTCTTCCATACATGGATGGATATGGATGGCTCTATGATATCGGTGACGCCTTGCTCCCAGCAAGAAGCCCCCGCTCGAGGCACACGATCTCGTGCGCCAACAAGAGGGACTTGGACCAAAAGGTGATCCCACTGGACCTGCAGCGATCTGAACGCCGCAACCCGTCGTTCCAAGAAACGATCTGAACGATCTACTCCGTGCGGACCGCCGCGCGGATGCGAAGTGGAACGTGTGGGATAATCAGAAGACCCTTTCAAGTCTTGTGGCTAGTATGGACCTGTTTTCAGTCATGTGATCCTGAAATAACTCGGCCGATTCTCTCAAATTGGAGGGGCAAAAGAACATATGTTGGTGAATGAGAACGGTTGGTATACCAAGATGCGCCAACATCGTCTGTTTCTTCGCAAATCTTTGGATGCAAAATGGAACTTATAGACCAGCTTCCACAACTTCGATGTCTGATGCGCGTTCCCAAGGGTACTTATAAGTAGCTTTCAGTGATGGATAGTGATGGTGTGTAGGTCATGATGCCGAACCCATGAATGTTCTACACATACACTAGCCTAAAACTGCAGCATTGCAAATCAAGTAGCATTCATCGTTTTTTGCAAATTGGTCCAGCGAACCGGTGCCAATTGGTCGTAACCTGCATGCAACAAACATCCCCAAACCAGCATCCGGTCCCATCTTCCAAAACAAGTCGCTTTTCGTCATCATTCACGGCCATGGCATCATTCCCCAGGTCGGGGACGTCATGACCTGCGGAAACCAAGCTGCGGTTCCCTTGACCTCTCCGACGTTCCGTGCGTGCTTTCCTTGCTCCATCTCAGGTCTTGGGCCACACAGAGCTGGGTGCTCATGCCAAGAAGTTCTATTGTTGAAAAACAATGCAAACATATACAAACACGTACATATATATAATATATGGATAAATAATGGGGGATGCGTTCAAGGGGGACCACGTCAACCCCCAGGAAAATTTTTAAATGATTCTGGGGGGGGTGAGAGGGGTTGGTGATATTGATTCTGACCGTCATCCATGGTCAGAACAATTTCCTGAAGTCTGCAGACATGACATTGAAGAACACAGCAATCATCAACTCAGGAATCATTTAGTATGACCCCCCCTGTCAATAAATAATTCTGGGAACATGATTCCAGAAACATGATTCCACCCATCGACGTACCCCCCTGGAATATTAATTTAGTGCTACCCCCATGAGCAAGAGAGGGGAGACAACAAAAAATTAAAGACGCACAAAGCCCGCCTCCAACTGTTGCACATCAAGTGCGATCAGTTTCTTGTTAGTGCTTGTGTCCCTCAGAACCTGTCCAAGGACCGAATCCTGTCCTCACAGTCTTCACCCGTCGCCACTTCCCTGACGAGGCGCAGGACTCATATCTCTCAACCTGAATGTCCCTGGAGCGAACCCAGCGCTCAATCGCCAGGTTCACTTCTTGCAAGACCTCCGGGATGAAGCCTGGCTTTTGGTGGACCTCTTCCATCTACCGAACTAGGACCGCAGGAGAAGTGTCCAAAACGGCTATGGAACACTTCCAAATATGGCCGCACAACTCTTCCCGTTCACTTGGAAGTTCCCCACTTCTCTTCTTACTGACCGACTGGTAGACGGTGCCCCCAAGCCCGATTGCAAGTCCAAGGGGCCAAGAGCAGGTATCGCTTCTGTGGGTGTCCATGTTTTTGATGCTCGAGCCCATTCTTCATACTTGAGTATCTTCAAGCACAGCCCAGAATCCTACCTATAAGGGTCTCCATTCTTCCGTTGGAAAACCACTGCCCCCACAAAAAAAAATGCGGCGAAGGTATGTAAAGGTCTTGTTGGGTGACATTCCAATATCCCTCCAACCACATGGCTGCCACGTCACTGGAGGCCAAGCGAAAGAAGCTGGGCAGGGGCCGTTCCACTCGCTGCTCGATCCAATCATCCAGCGAGACTGCAGTGAGTGTTTCGTCGGAGGGTTCGACGTTGAGGGCGTCATTGATGAGGAGGATCAGCTGGGCTAAGAAACCTCGAGGTCTGAGCTTTGAGCATGGAGAACTTGAAAGGTGCAAGACTCTAAGGACTCTAAGGGAAAACAAAGATACCCCCGGCCCCCGGCCTCATTCATTGATTCATGTCAAGAACCGTAAACATAACCATAAGTTCCAATCCTGTTGGTCATCCAGCAGCAGCCAAGGTTGGCTCTTTGACACATTAATAGTAGCAAAGGGGATCCAGAAAGCACCGGTTATGCCGGATTGGTTTCCATATATTATATATATATGTATATGTATACCGTATACCTGTAATATATCTGTATCATTCATCATCATGCTATATCTATCTATCTATCTACCTATCTATCTGTTCCAATCTAAATCTAATCTAATCTATCTATATACAGTATATACTTTGAACTTCTCTGTTCTAGACTTGTGTTTCAATTGAGAAGCTCTCGTATTGCCAAGTCCTCGTTGCAAAACGGTTTCCAGCTCACTAAACCTGGAAAACATGTGTTGCAAAGCTAAGCAGTTGGAACTCCCACCAATTGACCCAGCCACGTGTAAGTCCGCAATGGCTCTGACCTTCCTCCAACTGCCTTCGCACGTTGCTGGTCAGCGCCTCCGTCCAGCGCGGTCGCGCCACGTGGTCCAACATGCCCAGTGCAGCTGCGCGCAGCTCCGCGGAAGGGGCGGAGCGATCTGCACATGGAGAATTGTCCAGGACCCCATCCTCAGATTTTGGGAGCAATTTGGATCTAGATGGGTGTAAGTTGCTGACTTCTTTCAAACATTCACAAGTTGGGGTTCTGTCATTAATGTGTTTATTTCTTAGGGCCAACAACTGGCACGGCCAAAGAATCTAACATGTGCATCCCTTTAAAGGAAGTGCATATACTGTATGCGAGTTTCTCTGCTGCATATCTCGCGACTCTTGTGACACATTCTGCCAGTTCAAACCACCGGTAGACAACCCACCAAATGATTATCCTTTCCTCTGGGACGCTTGCGGAATTGGCCTCTGCACGTGACACAAATGACACGAACAAAAAGGAAGCAAACTACGAGACAACTCTTTTGTTTCGGACTCGCCAAACCTAGTCAAACTACTTGGACTAACTACCAAGCATCCCAAAAGCGGCCACCCAAAGCGGCAACGTGTGCCACACCCACCAAACCCAGCAGTGATCGCGAGGATTGCCATGGCTGTGGCATGTGTTGATTCACCAAGGGTGTTGATTCATCAATTGACCTCAAAGCTGGTTGGCTGGTGGTGCTGATGGACCCGTTCGCCGGGAACATCGGGAACATCTGCAGCTGTAAACTGACATTGCAGGACTAACGTCAAAATACTTGTCGACATGGATGTTCGTTGTACTGGCCGAATATGGCCCAATCAATCAACAACCTTTCGGCACATGTCTGGCTTCTATGTTTGGCTCACCGAGCGGACGTTTCATTCAATCAACTTATTAATTGGACTGATGTGGTAGATCCCTCACGATGAGGATCCTAGCGATGGTCTTACCATGTCATCCTTGGCCTGCACCGGTCCAAGCAGCCCTGAGCCCGCTCTGCAACCACTTGCGAAATGTTGTGAAATGTTAACAATCCTTCGCAATCCTTCCCGTAATGATAAGCATCCCATAAACACTACATTTAGCGTTCCTGTTCTAGTCTGCCCTGTACATGAGTGTTGGTTCAATTCGGCCTTGGGTACACGAACCAAAGAAGACTTAGCCAATGGATGTTGCTCCTCAAAGTTGGCAGGAGAAACCATAGAACATTTGTCCCAAGCAAAAAAACACGTTGTCTCTATACCTGCTCGGAGTGGTGACAAGCAGCGCCCCCTACAGCGTTCCATCAGCCCAAACACCTTCTTGGCTGTATCGAGAGTCTCGAGAGCGGCAAAAAAAGAGTCACAAAGGGTCGGAGAAGGTGTGACGAATCATGTCCAACGAGCCCAACTTCCCACTTCCACAGCGTATGTCAGTCATAAAAAAGGTATCCCAATGGAAGCTTCAGGAGACGTCCAAATGCACTCATTCTCTTTCAGCGCTCGCGATCATTCGCACGCTGCGATGGTGGGCGCCCAGCTGATTCCCGTTTTGGGAAAGCCAAGCACTGGTCCAAACACATAGTTCGCCCAAATCGATCCTGCGGTGCGACCCAAGTACTACCCAAGTGCTCGAATCAATCGAATGGGTGGTCTCAAAATGAGGGAGCCACGACTGCTTTTCTATAAACCAGGGATGGCCACATGCCCTGACATGAAACTCTAGAGAATTTATGACAGTGGTGGAGGGGAGCCCAAATGTCAACCCCTTTTCAGGTAGGATCATCTGCTGAATGGATCTAAAACACTAGCCCTTGGAGTGTCCCGCTCGAGTTTGGAGCGGGAATTTGGCCTAAATGTTGCACAATGGCAAGTTGCTGTCAAGCCAAAAGGGAGCTTGGCCACTAACGACGCCTAAAGCCAAAGGATTCCCACTGTTGGATGGGTTTCGATCAGGCATTGGCCCGAGGAAAGGGTCTATACAATTATACAATGGTTTTGTATGGGGGCCCACTGGCATGGGCACATCCCGTCGTCTTTGAGCCTTGGCCTGGCCAGCCTGTTTGGGTCCAACATTCTCTTGAGCCACAGTTGGCCAAGTTTGAGGTAGAGTGATCATGAGTCCCTTCAAACTGAATCTTGCTATTAGCTTGGAGGCCGTCGCCTGTAAGTTGGAGGGCATCGCGAGTAGGTTGGAGGCCAACTGCGACATCTCACCGAGCCTCGGGAGAGCTTTGAGTGAGCTAACTGGTGGTATTTGTGGAACTCACAGGAGAAGGTCGAGACTCATGTCAGCGGGAGCACTACTTTCCAAATTTTTGGACCTAAAATGGGATCCATAAAAATGTGTTATATTAGTGGTCCCCAAATAGATAGAAATGGTGTCCAATACATGTTGAAAGGGGCTTTATTCTTCTATATGAGCAGCGGACAAAATTACTTGTATAGCCAAATACCATTTGACATGAATTATCGTTTTTGGTGGGGTCCATATCGTTCTCCAATGTTTCTCCAAACCGCAGTTAGCATAGCATACCGGCACATAGAAAAAAAACACAAAATATAACTCACAACCTCAGATTAGAGCCTTAGAGGCCTACAGTGCTTTCTGCACAGGAATGGCACAGCACTTGATTTATGCACTTGGGTTCTTGTGGCACTGGGCTGTGCAAGGATCACAACACATAAGCGGGGACCTAGCAGCTCGGCCCATGAACAAACACTAGTCACTAGTAATGTGGAGAAGTAGGTCTACGGAGTGACTGGCGTGACATTTAGGTTATCGTTTGCTTATCGTTTGGGAAGTTGTCTGGGGTTATCATTGGTGAAAAGTTGTGCCCATCGGTTTAGCTCAAATATGCTCAAATAAACATGCAAATGCAATAACTCATATTGTAACCACAAACTACGTCTTAATAAGATTATTGTTTTTGGTGGGGACCATATCGTTTTTTCACAGAAACGAAGCCCTCAACATAGGTTTAGGGTCATGCCGTGACTAAATAAGTCAACCAATAATTTTGTCCGTCGCTCATATACCTATTTGGGGGTCTAATATAACAAATATATAGTCTAAGTAGCGTGGGTACGTTACTTGAAGTCCCAGACCTCCCCAGACCTGGCCTCCCAGCTGGTCGCTGATCATTGGACAATGCAGCAACAGGACTTTTTGTTGGCCTGTGACCGGTGAGCGAATTGGAATTTGGTGCGAAAGGGATTCACTTCCGCGTTGTGACCGAGATTTGATGATCTGAGATCCCGTGTCAAGTGCACCTGCGTTTGACCCAAAGCTTGAAATAACATGGCATCGTGACATCGTGGTGCTTCCAGGAACTTGAGAAGCATGTTCCAATCTTCACCACCATAGGACTTCCCCAAGCGTCCAGCACCCGGCACCCAACCCTGGGATGGCTAAATAGAAAGAGTATTTTATGTATTTTATAGTTCTCGCAAAGCGCTTCCGTTCTGTTGCTGCCCCCCCACTGTTTCATCCAGAGATTCGAAACCACATAATTAATTCAACACAGCAAATCCTTTCCAACGCCTGTCGCTTTCAGTTTCTGACCATTTTCTTTCTGCATGAAGGTTCCTGGCTCGCCTAGTTCCAAAGCTTCCAACCCCCCCCACGACACGGCCTCTGCTTCCAGTTTTTCCACCTTCGCATTGGCCTCAGCAAGAGGGTTGGTCAAGTGCAAGCCTCAGACCTTGAAACCCATGATATATCGAAAAAGGATGAAGCAAATTTGAACCTGATAACGCGCTGTCACTATCCTGCGCATGATTTTGGAAGAGTGATGACAAATCATCAGTCGAGGTTTCAAACGATCTCATGTCCATGTTGAAGGCACCGCGCTTGTCGAAGAACGTGAGCAGAAAAAAACAACGTCTTTATTGCATCACATCGTGTCTTTTAACTTTCAACGATGAGGCGAAACACACGCACGTGTATAACAATGTATAACATCCCCACACAACTGAGCGTTGGACAGCGGCATTCTGATCCTGCTTCAGATATAGAGCCAAAGCAGGCTCAACAAGGCACACAATTCAGCGGCCAAAGCGCTAATTATTGCTAGGATACTTTGATGCTCAGGGTTGCAAGCCCCCAGCACCAGCTGCAGAAAAGAACTTGGCACCACTATCTATCACCGCCATACATCAGGCCACCTGGACAGTAATCAGCAATCCTTGCATTCCCTGCGGTTGGTAAAGGAGTTATTCTCCTACATCCTACATCTGCAGCATTGCTCTCAGAAAACCGGTGCTTTGGGTTCCTCTATCCACTTAATAGCTGGCCCCAATGCAAACCATCGCCGAGCTGAGGGTCCCGCAAGACGAATTGCATCAGCTTGGTCAATCGTGTGCACACATGTGCAAAAATCTATATATAAACCAGTCCAAAAGCTACCTTCCCGGATGCACAAAAAGCAACCTTCAGCTTGGTTGAAACACCTTCCCTTCACATCGGCTTGGTTGAAACCTGTCCAAAAACCGACTGTCGCGGTGCCCCCCTTCAAGCCATGCGAAGCCGTGAAATGTTTCTCATGCTATGACCAATGGAGCAAAGTTGTCAACCCAGTCAACCTGTCCCGCTCGACGCGCCTGCAAGTCCTTGAGGTCTTTCTCCAAGGCTGCCACCTGTGTTCAGTGTCCGTTAGCAGTAAGGCCTTCCACAGTAGCACGGATGGTTTTCAATACGGCCGGTGGAAGCTGCCCAACCACGCCACCATTCTGCAATTGCGTGTCACGGTCTCCACCTTCAACTTGGATGTTGAGAGGCAAATTGTGTCCTAAACGACATATATATTCCTTGCAGGTCAAAGGAGTGTTTAACCTCCGTTTGATTAGTGCAAAAAAAAACTGGTTGGGCAGTTGGGCAGTGAATCAATGACAACAATACAAGGAAATCCCATGTGGGTGCACAAATTGCCGACTGTGAGCCATGGCCGTTCTTCCATACGTGGCAGTTCTTCGGGTCTTAGACTTCCTGGTCCCGCCTTGGACTTTTCATCCTGAGGCCATCCAGCAAACAAGCGAAACAACCCATTCGTCTCAATTCTCAATGGTTTGGAGTGTGTTGTTATATACTGCAATTGATAGCCTCCACCTCTAGCTATTAATGTTACAAGTTCTTTGGCATTCTAGTATTGCCTGGGATGGTGACCGAGCTCAAGCAATGTCGAAACATTACGGCAAGCGAGACAAAGCGTGCACAGTGACAATTCCATGTGGACACCGTCCTCCAACTCCTTCTTTTTGGATTCCTTGGACAGCAAGAAAGCTTCTGTTCACATCCTATTCTTTGGCACCCAAGCATTTGAGGCAATGACTAACATGGGAGCATTCCAAGGATCAGGACTACAAACGTATTGCATCACCTGAACAAAACCGCAACAAAAAATCAAACCGCTCGTGGTCTTAGTTTGGTCCTTAGGACCCTAGTGATTTGCTGAACCTCAGGTATGGTTTCCAAGCCTGCTGATCAATTTGGATATTGCCAAATCAGACCTTGACACACCCTGATGCATTTGGATCTTGACACTCTAATCTAATCGCAATTTCAGACATTTAGAGTGTTGGGCAAGGCCTCGCATCTAAAAACTAGTAAAAACTGCACATGGACCCTTCATTCAACTCTTCGCAGGTGAACGCGCCCAAGTCACGCGCCGTCGTCAATCAAATAGATTTGTTGGAAGAATTGCGAGTGACTGATTTGTAGGTACTAGATGGTACTAGTATACCTATATATGAATCCAAACACGTGCTATGAATCCAATTCTATCCCAATGATTGGCCTCCGTGTCTGACGAAAAAACATGCGAACGGATTGTTTTTGGGTATACCTCAAACATCACGAACGGCCAGGCCTCCCTTTGTCTTCGACCGACCCTCTTTCACTCTGGCGACCGACTCTCTGGTCTCGACCGGCGGATTCGACGACCGCCCAGGGACGGCCATCTGTCGCACGGTGGCATGGGCTTTGGGGGCCTGGCCGGAGAGTGCCAACGGTTGAGCCCCGGTTGACATCAAGGACAACACGGTGAATTGAAGAAAGCAAACGACCTGGATGATAAAGAAATTAACTTTCCAACTTCGGACACATTCAACAGAGATTCGCAATGCAGTCTTTTCAAGGGCCCCCCGGATGTCAACTCTAGTCACGAAATATCGAACTTAGACATGCAAAACACTTACATATATATATATATATATATATATTGTCTAACGACACACAGGGAGCAAGTTGTTGTTGAGAGAGCATTTTTTACATAGCAAACTTTAGCTCTCGACCAGGTTGGACATGACTCTCTGAGATTCAAGTGACAAATCCTAGATGCTCACTGGCCACCAAGCAAAGTAAAACAAGACAAACTCCGACCCTGAGGAAATCATGCCTTCCAAAGCAGCGTCACATGGGTGAGTGAACCTGATCCCCAACAGCCTCATCACCCTCCTCGTGGCTGGTCTCCGCGAGAAGGGGCGACATGCGCCAGGCATGGAAAATGAGCAGGCAAACCGATTCCACCTGTGGTGCCGCCGAAAGGGAGGCGACCGCGAAAAGACATAAATCCAGAGTCATGGATCATGCATGTATGGGCTGGATCCATGCTCGTCTTCATCGATCTTCATTCATCTTCATCCATACCTACATGGTGTGAATAATGAGAACATCGACATGAACTTAGACCTAGCTTTCTTGAGCAAACACGGACCTGCCAGAACTGGTGTGATCTCAAGGGATGTCCGTCTGACAGGGTGGAGTTTCATTCAGCGGAACTGTTTCTGCCGTTGGTTTACTGGAGACATCATCCACCGAATTGGTAGGAACAAGAAGCTACGAACGGAGCAAAGGGCATCGCTACGAACGGAGCGATCGGACGCTACGAACGGGGCTCCTGGCCGCAAGAAGCTATTAGAACGAAATCTCCGAAACATCGACGCCTGGGTCTCTGCCAACTTCTGAACTGCCACGGCCTGAAGCCGCGCCTGGGGCGAAGCATGAAATGGGATGAATCATGCAGCGAAGCCCGGTTGTGTGGGGGTCACTAACAGATCTCTCTCTCTCTCTCTTTCTCTCTGCGTGTGTGCATACATATACCAGCCAAAATTGTGACAAACCGGGCTCCTTCAGACTTGACTCCAGGAAGCAGGACACTTCACCACCAAGAAAAAAGACCACCAAAGGTTGACCGCAGCATCTGGGGAGCCGCGAGTTCGACGTAGTTTAGAGCTCGGAGGCTGCCATGTGCAGTCAAACTCAACTGATCCAACAATGTCTTCCCAGCATCCCAGACTGTCTATAAGCCAAGATAGGGCAATCATATCATATGCAAAGAAACATGTTTACGGTAGGAGCTCACATGTCGATTTGCCTAGCCTCCCCAGACTCATGCCCAGCATGTGAAGAAACAACGCTGTTGATTCCCAAGTCCAGGGTTCAACGTGTACCGCTCTGATCTTCAATAGGAGGAGTGTTCCGCGCCAAGTGGCCAACTTCGGAACGTAGCTCACCACGGCTCGGCTTGGCCTAGCAAACATGCACCTGAAACATCCTACCGCAAGCCCTCTTGATTGCTGATCCTGTGGACCATGTTGAAACCATTGGCATTCCGAAGAGTTGTGACAACAGGTGTATACGTTTCATATCGTTTCATAAGATTCAAAGCCATTCAAAGCCCGTCTCTCTCCCCAGGATGCATGTGACGCATAAGATGCAACATCTCAGGGGGGGACGAAAGTGACACAAGTCGCAGCAAAATGGACGAGGTGGACTTCCTTCATACCGTCCGAAGACCGTAATTAATGAGGAACATGCAAAGCCGCGCAACTGTAATGCATAGCTGGGGCTGACTGTCTAGACCTGCAAATCTGCCACTGCAGCCAAGGGTCTTCAACTTCAATCGCCTCAGAACATACTTGAACCAGATTTAACGTGTGCTGAATTACCACGGAATTGCCGCCAACGAATTGGATGAAACGAATCAGGCATCTGACCTCTCTCCGTTCGCCAACTGGGAATCGCGAAGCCTCCGCGCGTTCGGTGAAGCGTTCTCTCGGTCGTTCGCAAACGCGCGAAACCCCGCGTCTGCAAGAGGGCGCCCCTTACCGTCAAACCGCACGGTGCTCGTTGTGAACCGCCTCCGAGCGACCAGTAGACAAAGCACAGCAAAGCAATGAAGTGGGAGATGTCAGTCTCCTTCCTGAGTACGAGCTCAACAGCTCGCTGTTCTTCCATACTAGCGGGGCCCAAGAAAAATACCTCATCGTTGTTCGATTCCTGTATACATGTCGGGGATCCAGGCTTATTCACTAAGTTGCCCTTTGCTCAGCCTCTCAGGTTCCGGGCTCTTTGGCTCATTGTTGGTGCGTTAAGTAGGGCTATTGTGATCCAAACGTCTCAGGTCTCCTCCTCTCACTTCAGCTAGGCCATGCCGCACCAGCTTGATGCCCAACCCTTTTTGGGCAACCTGCCCCATAGCCATAGATCTCCCGGTTTTCTACGAAGCCAGTCCGTGGATCGGCCACGCCTCTGCGTGACTCTGGAAGATTTAGAGGAGAACACGTGAAACACGCCAGTGTTTTGTCATCCTTTGCCTCAAACAATGCAGCAATTTAAAGGGTCACCATGGGTCAGCATGGTCCCCATGGGTCACCCTGGCCCAAGCCCTTTGGCCACGGCTCTTGTCCACCTTGACGCTCTTCTGCTCCACCTCATGGCTTCGTTGCACTTGTTTCTTCCAGGCGGTCACCAACGGCCGCAAATCCTCAGCGGCGCTCACCACGGACCGCCGAGGCCGCGCGATGACAGCTCTGTGCGAAGAGATGACTCGTATCATTGGATGACTCGTTGGAATGGTCATGGTCACAAACCTCACCATGAAACACCATGAAAGACTTGCAAAATAGCCTTCCACTTCTCCAGCTTCCACCTCTTTGTAGGTCCCTTACAGACCTGTGATGAACTTGTGCCGTGTTACGTCCTCGGGGCGGAAGAACTTGGTCCATGTCTTTTGGAAGTAGGAGCGCCGTGCCACGTTGTGCCAGCCCAGTATCGCCACACTCGTCCTGGACGAAGCGACGAATAGGTCTGGGGGACAAACAAGCGATTACATTGCAGCCTGCACCAACCCTGGCCCTAGTGGCCCAAACGAACCAAAACAATTGGAAAGTTATGGAGAATAGTAAGATAAAAAAAATATATATATATACAGTAAGTTATATAATTTGAATTGGAGTGGGCCTCCTGGAGGTGTTTGCCCAATGCAGTGAAACGGAACGAGTGACAAAAACAAACATCTGTGGGCACCTGCGGGCTATGATCCAATGATTCTAGCAAGTCAATCTCCAGTGTGGTGCCGTGGCGATGCCGCTCAGCGAAAGCGGATCCTCAAGAATTGCATGTCCTACGCCTAAGTAATGTAGACTGTTAATCAAAGCCCCCCCACGTGAACAGAGGTTGTTCAATCGAATGGAGCCTCTTATGATCAAGAGTCCAATGTTCGTTCATGTTCGCTCGCCACTGCCGCCACCACAAGGTCCCCGCAAAAAACCGGCGAACTGGTCCAATTCAAGGGTTCCGGTCCATTCTCCCCCTCTTCAGGGGCGGTGTTCTCCAAGTCACAGAGCAAAATCCCAAGCAGAGATGCAGGAGGCCATGGTGTAACCTCAGCAGTTCCCGACTCTCGAGTCCCAACGGAGCGAGGAACACCTGCGACGGAGTCCAGTCAGGAACACCTGCTGGAAGTTTGGAACCTAAAGCCTTTAGCTGCCAGTGCACGAGGCCATACACAAAAATCCCTTTTGCAACTTTTTCCAGCACGACCCGGTCAAGATTAAAATGGCTATATATTGGATGGGATACAAGTGGCAGGGGAGGTTCATGAAGGTTCTATGGGGTTCTATATTGAGCACCCTTTGGGTCGCGCTGTGTTTTGTTGGTAGTTGTCGCCGGCTGTCGCACAGGCCCCATCCCCTCAGTCTCCCAATCTGATGCAGCAAGGTTGAATAAAGCGACGAGTCGGAGCGTGTGGTGATGTCCAACCCCTTGACGAGTCCTTCACCTGAAGGAAAACACATAGGATTAAAAGTAACAAAAGTATGGCCGCACTCCCAACAAAGCCTCAAAATGGGCAAAGGAGCGGCACCGGAATTTGTAGTATTTTGTAGTTGCATGCTCATAAAGAAACCGGCATTTGTTGCATTTGATCTCTGGGGTGAACCAAAATGGACCTCCGGGGCCCCCTGGCTGGGCCACTGTGCCATGCCAAGAGACGTGAGTTGGGCACCAACAGCTCAGGTTCCAGCTTACCATCACTGCAGAGCCCTCAGTGGAGGGCTGATGGGAGGTTGTTGTGGCCCTCCAACTGCGGTAGTGTGGGTTTTCGGATACGTTAAAAAACAAAATCATCCCATCATCTGGAAAAATCTAGAATCAGTTTTGCGCCCGGGCATCCGTAACGTAGACGTTGCCCTAAAACATAAGTCTTATATAAGTGTATATGCTTCAACAGGCGAGGGCTTCTTTGCAATCCATGTTCCTAGCTTCCTTTCCCTGCCTTGCACCTGTCGAGCACGTCCCTCTCACTAACTAGTGAATGACGGGAAACCTGTCTGCCCAAAGGGCCCCCCCCCAAGTCATCATTCTTTGGAGATCCCCATTGAGAGCTTTCTTCAGCTATCATGCACTTGCTGCACCTTGCAATGGCTTTTCCTCAAATTACAGGAAACCATGTGGGAGGTCATCAGCCAAGAGGCGACGCCAAGCCAAAAGAATTGATTGCAGCAAAATGTTGGGAGACCCGTCGTGCGCGTAGTGCGTCAGGGCTTTCAGCATCTGCGCCAAGATTATTTTTGCAATGTTCCACTACAAACCCCGGTCATCATGGTCCCGTTCTAGCAAGCAAATATGACCGTACAATGTACAATTGTAAATTTATTAAACTTGCACAGCCAAACATAGCCACAAATTATCAAACAACTCCAACAATATCCAACAATAAACATGTTTAGTTCCGTGCTGGTTACACTGACTATATCATTACAGTCCTGTACGCTGCCCCTAGCCAACGACCTTAATTCCTCCTAACTGAACAGGGGTACTCTCAGTGTTGCACATCCACCTTTCGTCAAGGCCCCTGCCTGCAGTGAGGCGCCCGTCTTTTTCAACTGGTTCTCGATGGTCTTGGCTTTTTCACCTCCAACTTCGACATCCAACACCCCGAGAACGCGGGGCCAAGTTCGTCCTGACCCCAAAACTGTAGGTGCGAGGCTCCTAGGATTTGCGCATATGGGTATATGTGGGTTGACCAGTTTCGGACCACAAGAAAAATTTTTTAATGATACGGCGACCACCGAGATCTACACCTGTCTTGGTGGCATCAGCATCTGCTGAAATAGGCCAAGGATCACACAGACTTGCGTCTGACCTCTGGATATGAAAATTGGGATTTTTGAGCCCATGCCCCCAAGCTTGGTGATTCTCAGCGATTGGTGATTCGTCACCATGCCGATATACCCCGATCACATCCCCAGATCCGGCGACACCGAAATGGCTGCAGATGGATGGTCGAACAGCTTCAGGGCGAACCTTCCATAAGGCTCAGCCAATGTTTGAAGACGAAAAGCTTCATCACGGAATGGTTTTCCTCAGGTGTGCCAGCACTAGGTTGGGTTGCTTGGAGGTGGATGTCCAACATCATGAGATCTACTGCATCTTATTTCTCCGCACGCATTCCTTTAGATCCGGTGATGCACAAATAAACTAAAACTCCCAATTCCTGTGTCACCTGGCTGCATATGGCAACACGTTGCATGTCAAATATGTCAGTGGGCGTTTAAACTTTCATGGCGTCTGGATGCCATGTTCTAAGTCAAATGGAATTCTGTTCACATGACAGATCTGAGTGAAAACCCTGGATCGGCTCCTAGGGGACTCAACCGAACACCCAATGTGATTCAGAATTGGCAGCAAAAACTATGTGTGCTGTAGATTTTCCCTACCAATTCTGAATATCTTGACCACTTTGCTGGAACCAGAATGATGCGAAACCGTTGTGCGCTCCGCTGGTCTGCTTCTCTCTGGATACTGGCCTGCCTCATTTAACCAGTCGAAAGGTGCCATTCTGCCAGGTGACGTCATGTGATGTCTAAGCTTTGCGTCTGGCTAGTCACTGTGGCAGAGTCCAAGTATGTTTTCACTGGTGTTTTCACCATTACCCATATCCCCTTCTCTTCCTACCACACAAAGCCAAACCCTCCGAAACATAAACTGTTCCCAAACAATTGTCGATTCACCTGATGGTTTTCCAAGTTCCAGGTGAATGAACAATCACTGGTTTCCTACTTGGCTTTCTCCGGACTGTTTGAGCAATTTCCTTGAGCATTCTGTAGAGGTTTCCGTCTGAGTTCACAATCGTAATTTGACCAAGTGCACTGCAGCACCTGTGTGCTGAGTCTTTTTGCTGCAAGAATTCTCATGGAGGCAACTTGCACAATAGAAGTTAAGTGAGGTATTGGACACTTATGGAGTTGGTGCATAGCATTTTCCTGAACAAGTATTGCAATTGAGCAAGCTTCCCCGCAAAAGCACCAGCACACCAACCCGACTTCTCAAAACTTGTGCTGGTAAGTTTGACTGCTTGAAGCAATGAAGAAGCCAAAGTCGCTCACAAAAGTGTAGGCACATCCTGGAACAGGACAAACCCCGAGTACCTGAAACTAAAAAAACGCCATGTTGGAAACCCAAAAAAAGGTGCTTGTATCAACTTATAATTTGCCGCCCTTTCAAGCCGCTACTGAACTACCAACATGGTCGACTTTAGGTGATTTGTTTTTGAACTAGGTTCCCAACCAACCATAACTGTCCACCTCTGTCCACCCTATCTGTCCACCGTCACGCGCCGCGTTTACACCAGCATCTTTCCTTCCCCTAATGGCACGGACTCACGCAAACGCACTTTCCATTGAGGCCGCGCAAAACCGCATGGCACAACGACATCATCCTTCGAAAGCTGTAGTTGATAGTCTAGTTGTCTAATTATCACTATTTTAATAAAGGGCTTCTGCAAAGGGAAAAGGACAACCCTTCGATCTGGAGTTTTTTTCAATTTTGGATACGAGTTTAATTAGGATTCTATATAAAACTTTCCTAGGCAACTTTTTGGTCTTGAAGCTCTTCCCAGGTTTCCATCTTTGCGTGTCCCCATTTTGGGGACCCCCGCCACCGGGGCTTTTTATTGGGGGGGCGTCGTGAACTTTAATAAACTTTAATGGTGGACGGTGGAAGGGATTAAACTAAAAACAAAACAACAGGTAATTTGTTAAATCAACTCCGTGGTCAATGGCCTGTCTTTTGAGAATCCCAAACAGAGTGTGATTATGTTATTTCATGCTCATATTTCAGATTTGTCCACAAAACAATTCCAATTCACTCCAATTTAACACAACTTATCGCCAGTCACGGCCCGTCACACCGTTGAAACGCCTCTCACCGCTCACCGTTTTCGACGGTGTCACCGCCCAGACTCAGAGGCCAAAAATATCACCGCTGTCTCCAGCTGGTTGGACCGGCGCCGCGTTTGCCGCAGCGCATCTCAGGCGATTCGGCGCATCGCCCGTAGCGGAAGGTCCGGGTTGAGACGCTATCTAAAATTGGTAATTGTTATACACTTTGCTCTCTCTCTCTCTATATATATATAGTTCCCGTGGGTTTTCAAGTCCTCAAAGTCACCGTTTCGTGTGGACTTTGATGTCCGCGGGCGTAATCTATCATATATTTAATCAATGCCTCAATATTTGAGGTTGAGCCTTCAGAATGCTTCTGAACCATCTCCCTCTCTCTCTCTCCCCTCTCCCCTTCCCCGCTCAGAAGCTTAGCCAAGGCTCTGGAGAAAGCGGTGACCTGTGTTGCTCTGTCATCGCGACGGATCGTCAGTTGACTCATGAATCTGGGATACCGTTTCGTTTTCGTGAGTGGGAAAGCATGAGTGGGAACACAGGCCTTGTCCGCAGCATGGCAATTGGTATTCAGTACGCAAAAGGGAAAGTCGCGAATTGTTGCGCAATGTGTTGTGCAAATAGACCAACACTGGGCATTCTATAACATATTCTACACTGTTCTACACAGGTCCTTGGCGCTTGACTCAAACACTGTCCATGAGTGCCTCCAACTCAACTCCAAATGCTCTGTCCTTGAGCACTGTCATTTTCCTGCATGTTCTAGAAGCTTGCCACATCATTCATTGATGGTAACTGGTATGGGTGTCTGCGCGCCTGGGTGTCTCCGATCATCCATCGCCAGGCATAGAAAATGGCGCGGCTGGTCAGGGAAGTCATCGAGGGCTGTAAAGCCAGGATGGCCTGGCTGCACATGCAGCACCGGACGGGCCATCATCTCCCATTGGATTTACAGTCGTTTCAGAGTAGATGGCACAAACCGCCAGAAACCCCAAGATGTCCTTTAAGATCGGGATCCACATAAACCATCAAAGTTGGGGGCCCAGACGTGCCATCCACTCTGAAACGACTGTAAGCGTCAGTATGCACACCTGTGGACAAACAATGGCATGATTGGGCACGAAACTTGTATATAGCTTGACGGCATTGTGCTTTATCCACACTACTGGGGGGGGCTCGCGTTGCAACAAGCCAATGCCTTTTGCAATGAAAGGATGTGATATGATAAAACATAAATAAACAATATATATATATACTGTATATAGATGCGCTGATCACCGCTGATCATTATGATCGTGCAAATTTGTGCTGTACTCAGCAGAGTGAAACATGGTGTTAAACCCACTTCAGGTGTGGCACTGAGCCTCTTGTCCTGTTGAACAGCTGCCTACTTCGCCCAAATTGTGTCAATTGTGAGGTCCTCTGTGAGGTTCATAGCACATCCATGTCCATCAGCCTTCGAAGGTGTTTGGCGTCAAACCTTGCTCCGAAACTCCACAAAAACATGGAAATAAACCCAAAGGATGACAATAGCTCGAGCGCAACAGAGTGAATGCTGAGGCTTCAGGCCTCCCCAAGATGTCACAATTAATTGCCTCTTCCAACAAGCTCCTCCTTCGACCGCACCAGCTCTTTAAGATCGAAATGGTCCTGCCCAGTCTTCCCACTGCCTTGTCTACCTACTGGTAACGATCAAAACTCATGGTCTCCTCGGTTCCTCATGTCCCGCCACCCCCATCGCCTTCAAGAAGGCGCTCTTCTTTCCAGCCACCTGCATCTGGAAGCTTTGCAACTTCGCCTCGGAGATGACTTGGTTCTTGTTATGGCCTTATTTGGTGCTGTACTCAGTGCGTCTGATTCGAACGCATTTTGGAGCCACCAATTCTTCAAGCCCTTGATCGGGCTAATTCCTCCCCTCCCCAGAACAAAGCGCATGCTGCAGTGCCACAGGATCAGCTGCCAAACAAACGTCCACTAGCCAAGTTGGATGCTGAGCTTACAAACTGAGGAGCCTCCATCAATGCCTCATACCATGCCAAGAATGCGTAGTACCGCAATGCAGTGTCCAAGGCATAGAACCATCTCCTCAACCGCAGTGTCTTGCGGCTCTGTTGACGTTCTCTTACGGCATGTGTCCGCCGATGTTTGCTCATCTTTGCCCCGGTGTTCACGGGATTTTTAGCAGACATATCGAGACATGACCATGTGCAGATCATCACCATGTGCAGTACTTCCTCTATCCTCCTCTAAGACTACTGCCTCATGTCGCACAACATGGGGGCTCCACGGGGCTCCGGCAGGGCTCGGTTTTTTCTTGCCGCCATGGCTCCGCAGTGTGAACTGCACCTTCTCATTCGTTCGCCTCCACGCTCCAGGCCGCACACACGTGTCTCGCGAAGAAAACAAACATGGAAGCAATTGGCACCCCGTGGCAATCCCCCCTGTTTCTAGAGAAAACTTGGTCACAAAGAACATGCCCACTTCCATGGAATATGCAAAGTGATGCAAAGTGTAAGTCCTCAGCTCAAAAACACGACCGGGTCACCTTCTGACCACCTGAACATGCGTCGACCTTTGACCCATTGAGTGACCGAAGTACTGCTGGCAGGCTGCAGTATGTGCTGCAACACTGTGTTGCGCGGCTTTATTCATGTCATGCTCCCGTATTCCCAATGGACGAAGCACTGACTGGTCCTGTGTAGAAAAAAGGGTCCCGAGTCCCGTCTTCCACCTCTCGGATCGGGTGGAACCTGCTGATCTCCACCCCCTCGCAAGCCGATCACAGAACAGAACCTGTGATAACCACTGTAGCAGTTGAATTACGTGCACAGCTGATCACTGGAACTGTATAGCAATTAGTAACAAGAAGCGACCATTAACAAGGTGGATCGCTAGTAGTAGCAAGGACACTACTAGTAACAAGTGCATGTCTATTAAAAAGCTACTGGTAGCTATTGCTTCAGGAGAGGCGACCATGGTGACCTCACCCACTCACAGCTCACAGCGCACACATCCGTTCGCTCGACGGTCCAGGCCTTTCCCACACGGAAAACTTCTTCTGCCAGGTCCACCCAACGAAGACCCAATGCTTAAGCCCTCAGCCACAGTGTTTTTTTTCAGTCCAGTAAGTAAGGGAGTGGTTGGGGTACCTACTCGTGGTCGAGTTAAGTGGGGAGTCATTCTCCCTGCATTTACCATGTAGTCTTTAAATCAAAACGGACATCTGCGCCAAGTGCCAAGTGCCTCGTCTCGGCCATCCTCCCAACCCGACCTCGGCTGTTTCGCATCCAAGCATCCACGGTCTGTTTCGCGACCCCAAGCATGGGAGGCCTGACAGGTGTCAGCAACCAGACCAACCAAAGTTAAACACATAACATAGCGCGACATATATACTTAACACATCTTAACACATCTTGACACCCTGAATTATGGGAGATGGGTCTCTCAGTTCGTTGCTGTGTTCCACGTGAATTCATGCAAATGTCTAACCACCAAAAGCATCACTGCGGCATGTCACCAACATCACCACTGCGGTTTATAAAGCATCAGCTAGAACCATGCCGCACATGTTTTTAAAGGGTGCATGTCATGTCATGTGATTAAAGACAACCCCCTCAACCACATCGAGAGGTCGCCCACGTCGGACCGGGAAATTCCGCACCTGCTCTAAGGAGCTGAACCATCTGAGATGAAGCTTCTCCTTCATCCGCTCGGCCTAGGCCGAGCGTCACGTGGGGACCCCGCCATTCGGTTGAGAATCTCTGGGGGATCTGTTGGTGACTGTAGGGCAACTTAACTTCACCAAACAGCAACAAGCTAAGATCATGATGCAACAGCAACCCACCCATGATTCAAAGTCTGAACAAAAAACACATAAACCCTGTGTGGTGTTCGCCCTTGTGCCCGGAACGTGCGGTGTTCCTCGCGCTGGGTTCGTGGGTTCACGCTGCCTGGAACTCCATCACCGCCACACGCCAATCCCTCAGAACCCAGTGGACCGCCACCAGAAGCGCCATCTTTCCTGCAGGAAGGCCGTTGAGATCAGGTTTCTATCAGGGCCACTGAATACAACCAGGTGGCTGATCACAACGCAAAATAAAGAGTTGCTGATTGCAGCTGTGCTTAGCAATGTGGCTTAATCTGGGAGAGCTTGTCTATTACATTGCCTTAAGCGAGAGAAAGGCTGGCAATGTCTCAGGAACACCTCAAGACTGTTCAAATCAGCAGCCCAAAAGGGAGATGAAGATGAAGTCCACCTTCCCACCCGCCATGTAAAAGCAATCTCAGCTCATCTCACCCCATGTCCAAATGCCAAGCCTGACATTCCTCTAGCTTTGAGGATTTGGTTCGTCTTTCGCTTCCACTCCTTGAAAGCCTCAGCACCAAAAGGGAAGTTAAAGCATGTTAAAGCAAGTCAATCCATCACAGAAAAATCACGGAGGTCCAGAAACGATCAGAAACGCATGGTGTTTTACCATGCGTTTCAGCGACCTGTGGTCGAAACGCCTCCGCCTCTCAGACCGGTGACGCCTCGCGCCCGCACCGGTCTCACCCGGTCGGAGCACCAACGCACTGGTTGCGCAGTGCGGTCGCGCAGTGCCAAGGCAGTGCGGGAGTGCTCCACACATCCAATCGGTTCAAAAGCTGCAGTATAGTGGAAAGAGAGGACCAATGGCACAAACCCCAATGTCGGTGGTTTAGGATTTAGGACTGGACCCCCTTCTGTCTAGGACATCTTGGGGTCTGTGCCATCTACTCTGAAACCACTGTATCAAGTTATCCCGTGGCATGCCAACCCAATCGTTTGTCGCAAGAGTTGAGAAACACTTAGTGTTTCTATGCACAGGATGCACTGTGCCGGAGGTATGTGGTGTCTTGCAGGTGTGCATTCCAAAATTACAGGCACAGGGCCCAGGCTCCACAGGCATCGAATTCAATCATTTCCCACAAATCTTTCCTCAGGAAGCCCTGGTCAGAATTTCAATTCAACATATCAATTCTACAAAACATTGATTGGGAATGATTGGGACGGGCCTCCTCAACGACCCTCATTTTCCTATCTGCATCTCATCTCCAAGCCACGTGGGAGGTCCTCAAACTGGTCACCTCGCGCTCCCACATGGTGAGCGCCACCGCCAAAATGGGGTCCTTCCCCAGCTCCTGGGGGTCGAACGGTGAGCTGCCCCTGCCCTTCGATGCTCTGCAGCTCGCCGGGGTGTTTTGATTTAGAACCAACGTATGCCCGCTTCATGTTCCAAGCATTCCCAAGTACGATCCGAACGTATCGAGACTCACAAGTTCAAGTGATCGGACTCACAGAAGTCGTGATGATTCTCCACAAAGCACGGACGGTCCGTCATGGAATCGTCGGACGGTCCGTGTCCTTCTTCACATGGGCCTTCCAGTGTTTCATGTCCTGACGGTGAGGATTCACAGGGACCGGCATGGGATTCCAATCAACCAACCCGTTTGGGAGGACACCCAGGGACTTCACCGTTGGGATGCTGAGGTGTAGATCCCCCCAGCCACACTTCTATTGGAATGCCACTAGAAGTGTGCAGAGTGCATACATGTGCACACTTGACATCTAGGGAGTCTAAGGTCGCAACCTACCACCACACGCCCGGTGTAACAGGGCCCATCACAACGTGCGGACGCCGTGGCTCGACAGTGCCGCCGGGAGGCCTCGGTGCAGCGACGCCTCTCGTGTTCTAAAGACTCGTGCAGCTCCTGGCGCTTCCGCCGGTCTGAACGTAGTGCACGGCACGAGGTCGAAGGAAGAACGAGGTCGTGGGTCGTACGAAGTTGAGAAGATCCAAAGCCAGCTGCAATTCAGGAAAGAACTCTCTGGCCCAGCCATGCGTCATGACAAGCGGCCCAGGGTAGTCCATGGTAGTCCTGTTCCTCGCAGGTGTCTCCTGAAGTTCCTGCTGATGTTCAGCATTCTTCTCCATGAGCACCTGCCGTGGAATTGGGCCAGTCTGCGGGCTACTCGAGCATCCTCGTGCTCCCACTTCTCAGACTTGCACTTTCTACAAATCGATTCTCCTCTGGCTGCCTTGTTGTAATATGCAATCTCTTTCTTGGAGTTCGCCACCTCGGTCGCAAGATTGAGAGCTGGCTGGCCCCGGTTTTGCCCCGGCTTGCGTTGGACCAAACAGGCCGAAGTCCATTCTTACACTGCCTCCACCCCAAAAACGCCACCCTCTAAATACCATACGATACTCGTGTTCGGGAGACTGAGTGCTCCTGCTACCACATTGGGTTGGCAGGTCTTAAACTGGCCACCCCAGTTGCAAATCAACACAGGGCCCAGGGGACCAGGAACAGGTTTTGCTCGATTCTGGTTAGGGGTCGAAACCACAGAACCGTTGTAACCCCCACCGTGTTTAAATGTCGAAGCTTTTGACAACTCTCTGTCCATGAACTCCCGCAAACTGTTGTGCGGCCAGGACACGACCAGCTTCATGACACGAACTTCCTCTTGTGCAGTGACCAGGGCCTTTTCTGGCTTGGCCTCCTGAGAAATGCCAAACGCACTGAAAAGGGACCGAGTCAAAGTGTCTTCATGTAAACCAAGTCAAAGCCTAAAGAGAGAGAGGAAGAGAGAATCCCAAATGCTCAATGCCAAGGGAGGTTGAGAAGGGAGAATGAGACGAAGCCCAGCGAGTGGAGACGTAAGCCCTCATGGGCCTTCGTCGTAGACTGGCACGTACGTTTCACTGAACAGCAACGAAGGACTCTAACAACACGCAACCTTCCCTACCTACCCCTTTGGGCAATAGGAGTGACCCCAGAACATCAGCATGTCATGTGCATTAATCTTGGAGAACAAAAACTTGGAAAGTGGACCTTCAATCATATGATTCAATCCTGTTAATAAAGCATGGATGCTACTCGTGTGGGTGCGCAACTTCACAATCACTCCATATCACTCTGCACAAATTTGTTGCCAAGAGTCTGAGCCTTCTGCAGTCCTTTGCGGCCAGGAGGATTAAGTTTTGGCCATCGTGAATGAAGTTGATAATTCCACTGAATACAGTACATCAAAATTAACATACACAATCCTCGTTTCACAAGCCTTGTTTCTGCCAGGATGGTTGAGAAGCTCCAAAGCCTAGTCAATCTGACTGAAGCTCTGAATCGTGATTCTTCATTATTCTTCCTGATTGTCTATCAACACAAGCACTACATGTTTCTCTTGCTGGGTACACCGGAGAGTAGCGGGACCCTCATCACGCATGGGTCCAATCGGTCGAATCGGCTCCATTTGGCCGGATCACGGTGAGGTTTGCGTCCAACGAGTGGTCGAAGGCTCAACTTCACCACGCCGTGCGTCCTGCGTCACTGGGAAATTCAGTGCGCTTGGGCCGCACAAAGGAGCACTTCGAGCTCTTGCTTGCGTTCAAGGACCCTAACGTTCATTGGAAATAAACATATGCTCAAAACATCAGGCCGGTCTTACAATCTAGACCAGGAGACCCAAAGGTATGCATAATCTACCCTTCAGGATTCAATCCCTATCCCGACCTGGGCCTGCAGTTCTTTACAGCATGTTGTTCAGCATGTAGCACTGGCTGAGTCACCCCCCACAGCAAAGTCAACTCCTCCACCGGAGTCGGAGTGCCACCAGTATCAGGCGGAGGGGAACGAGAGGCTGCATCACCGCGGCGAAGAGGCTGCACCTTCTGCGCCTGGTAGCTGACTTTTTTACTTTTTTTGCGAGTCCAGGAGCATACGAATGTAGTGCAAAGACCCCAAAACCATCCTCAGCGACCTTTTTCAACTCCTAAAGAGTACAATTCTTGTTTGGTGGGCCTTGAGCATCCGAATTGTGCGTGGGTTAGGCTGTTGGGCTACCCATGTTACTTTAGGCTGGTGAAAGTTCAGACCGAGAAAAGTGTGTCAGACTGTGAACATGTGGAACTTGTCTGATTGTGAATGGCAGGTAAACACTACGGTATACTACAGTAGTCACTGGATAAAGGGACTATAGAGCTGGCAACATGGGCAAACCTGGTTGTACCCAAAGGCATGTCACAAAGGAAGTCGTCTCAAAGCGAAACAACACATTCCATTACCTTCAGCATCACTGGCCAACAGTGCGACAAACGGCATAAACAATTCACCAAAACTTATTCCAAGAATCGATGCGACGTGCTTCCTCATCTAGGTCCTGGTGGGAGCCAACCTAGCAAACATGAGCAAACCTTGCGTGCAGACCTCATCAGGGTGTTGGCGAGAAGGGATCTGATTTAGCCATGGTGATGCTTGTGATGTTGCTTGACACATGTACGTTTTCGGTGGAACCGAGTGCAAAAGTGTTCGGCACTCAAAGCCACTCTAAAGCCTCTTGTGCATGTACTCATCACCGCGTTTCCAGCTCTCCTCGTCTTCTTGTAGTCCTTCCTGGCGGGGGACCGTGTCAAACCTTCAATGCGCTCTGAAAGTCAACGCAAAGAAACACTACGAAACTCAAACAAATACAGCCGCCCGCTCACCCAAGCGGAAAAGTGTCAGTGTCTTGCTGTTGAACTGGCCCCTTGTGGCTTCCAAATAACGACATCAGCTGGATGGGAGTGCGACTCCATGGCTTTGTTTGCCACCTTCAAAAGACACTATAATTGACCATAATCCCTAATCATGCATGTGTACTACTAACAGTATTACTATAAATAAATATCAAACACTATATCAAACGCATATCATATCAAACGTACGTATGGTGCCTGGCGTTGAAGACATAGTTCGAAACATCTGCGAGCTTCCATCACATGTTGCTTCAAAAAAAGGTATGCCATGGAACACTTTTTTGATGGGTGCCATATATATATATATGGTACGTATAGTGTACACCTGTGACCTATGTGTACATAACCTACCCTCGAACACTGACACCAAACATGTCCATGGAGGTTTTCAGGCGGCGCCTCTCGGATGAACTCGGATGCCGCTTCCTCACGCCTGCGTGCTCCGGCGTGAAACAGCGCTTGGGAGAAGTGGGGCAACCCAACATACCCAGCTAGCTGGGATGAATTTTGGGACGCGTGATTCATGAGACTTATATAATTTACATCTTGTTGTTTGGGGTGCAGTCAAGTCAAGGCAATTGAAATATCTCTGTCCGGATTCCACAAAAACTCTTGCTGTGAGGTTGACAGGAGAATGCTGAGAAAATCTGAGAGGGCCTTTCTGACAGGTTGTGCAAATTCAGGTTCGCTTCCGAAATGGCTCCAAGAAGATCAAGTCTGTTCAATGGTTCGCCACCCTGACCTAATACCTACGTTTGCGCGTCTCCAGAACGGCTGCATGGAGCAACCGGTTGTTCTCCCCGATCTTCGTGCGGCAAGTGGCCATCTGTCTTCAGGCACGTCCCATTCAGTTCCACTGGCACGATCAGAATCCTCGGTTTGGCTGTCTTTGACCAGGTCTTTGTAGGTGAGTCTTCCCATTGGTCTTTGGGCCGGACACGTTAAATGTAGTGCTCATCTGACATGAACTCTGGCCGAAATAGTTTGATCCTTTGGGTGATTGAAACAATTTGGCTCTTTATACCATTGGTGTCAAAACGTGAACGAAGGAACGAGCAACTCGCGCATACTCAAGCTCACCTCAGAAAGGATGGGCAGTGATGCTAAAACAAATGCGCACTCAAAGCAACAGCAAGAACGATCTACAGTATCACTCTTATTAGGATAAATGTTCACATCTCAAGGCTGGATGACACCGATCTGCTGCATGAATGATCTGGCCCCAACAAGTCTCGGACTAAAGGCTTCGAACCAAAGACTTCCTTTCTCTTGGCCAAGTCTCGTTCCATGTCTCTCTTCGAGCAGCCTGGCCGAGACATCCCCAATGAAAGATGGGAAGAAAGGCACATATTTTTCAGTCTTGTGATCATCGCTGGAAGAAAGCTTATCCAATCCATAAATAACTTTAACATATCTTAACTATCTCGTACACATTACACTCATTACACATCTCCGGGACTGGAGCAAAGGCCTACCTTAGTCACATGGATGGCGGCTATTCGATTGCGCAGCCTCTTGTCCGACGGTCAAAGTTTCACATACCAGTGCGATCATTGCAAGGATTAAGGGCATTTCTCCAAAGAAACCACCGCTCTCTCTCCAAAGCCCCAGCCCCAAGGGTCAAACTCCACCCATTCATCAACCAAAAACAATAAACAAATCAGGAAGATTCAAGCCACAACCTAAGATTATTTGACCCAGGTCTCGGTCCAACCTATAAGTTCATAGACATCTTCAGAACAACATCAGTTTGGAGGGGAGAACGTCACATGAATGCTTAATGATTTACTCTGACAAAAGAGAATTCGTGGGTGCTTTACTTTTTGATATCTTTGTTCTTTTGAAGCCATATGCTGGTGGAGCTCGCTGAAGTTGCAAATGAAATTTGATGAACAACGAGTCGAGTCAAACTGTTTGAGTCATGATGCAGATTCATTTATACAGTAATTCGATCTTCACTGGCGGTTAATGCACACACCACTCATCAGTCTTGGGTTGCACCCAACACTGCATTCCCCACATCCATTCCTTGGATTTGCTTTCCAACCTGGAAAACATATTCCGAAGGGGACTTCACCATAGGGAAACAGTGAAACATCACCATAAGACAAACTGCAGGATTCAGCGCTTCATGTCCACCCTGCCTCGGAGAGTGCTCCTTTCGACCGACCCACACGGCGATAGAACCCTTAGCATCTAAACACTAGGAACCATACTTGCAAAGCAGTTGGTCTCATGTTTAGTCTGCAAAACTTGCGCCAACATGCAAAAACACAAAGAACAATCCAGGCTGGACAGGCTGCGTCGTTCTCCGAACAAAAGTGGGCGTCCTCCGGCCATGGCAGCGTCTCGTTGCATCTGGCCGCTGGATGACACAAAAGGCCTGACACTCACAGCTGAAAATGCAAATCTGTCCCGAGCAATGGAAGAACCTGAGAGGGCAAACGAGGTGAATATATCGAAAAAGGGCAGGTTGAGCCTAGAACACCCTGGAAACCCTATCTCGATGTAAAGGAACTATGAACAGTGGTGAAACGTCCCGATTAGGTCTTAAAGGGATGCCTGACACTTTAGAGTTGAGGCTGTATCCTACCAGTCTTGTGGACAAAACAACCCAAAATGCTATCTCCGTTCAGCACCAGCGGACAAATTGCCTACTTTTCATTTTCCTACCGCTTATTCAATATGTCATACAATGCTTTTGTAATATATATACATATATGCGTTTGTTCCTAGCCGCTAGCCTTGGGGCGTCTATCGCAAGAAAAGCTTCAACCATGGATGATTGTGTGCCGCATTCTTACTTGATCAACACACAGTCTCAAAAATTATTGGACGACACCTGCTTGACCCCAACGAACAAACTTTGCTGCAACCATGGTTGCCAAGTGGCTCTTGGTGCACTTGGTGTTCCTGGATGGTGGGGAGCTGTCCTTTCAACCCGATGCTGGGCCGTGGCCGCGTCAGCTCCTCCACGGACACGTGCCGTCATTAATTACACACACATGATTTTCCTATGTTTTCCTGAATTGGCCGCACGCTGACATGTTGCACTAGTCATGCCAAGCAAGCAGGACTAGGTCATGATGAAACATGCTCCACCACGCAGAATTCTCAGTGTCCCAAGCCTTTGAGTCGCTTTGGGTGTCTTTAAATCTCACGCAAATCTGCCGACCAAATCCATATAATATAGAACAAAACATGCAAAAAGCAACTGGGGAAACACTTAATTGTGTTTTTTCAATGTTTTTCCCAGGGGCGAAAACATCTTCGGGTGAAGGTCGCTTTTCTGCCGACCGAACCCGGGCGAACCACGGTCCTCCACTCGCCACTCTTGCTCCAGTTCTGCCAGCTTGGCATTCTCCGCCTGCGCCCAAAGGAGTATTCCAGGCAGTCTCTCGTCGGTGCATTTGGTCAGCACAAGCCACTGAACCAAATTTGGAAGTTCTACATATAGTCAGTCTATAGATGTCTATCACCCATGAGTCTAGCCCATGTCCATTGGTTTGGCAATGCTGGTGTTGGAACAGTGTTGTTAGCACTTCACTCACCGCTGCAAACATAGTAACATACTGCTGCATCCCGACCTGCAGTTCTTCATCATTCTCAGATTGAGCTGCCGCCAGCTGTGCTCTGAATTTATCCTGGGAGTAGAGTAGGCAGTGACTGACAACATCTGATAACATCATCTGCGTCTCTTGCCATCATCACAACATTGGCCGGGCCTGTTGTTCCAGCTCTTTTGCCTTCAACAACTTGACCTTCTCCTGAGTCAGAACCGCGGCGATTTGGAGTCTGCGCCAGCTGTGACTCTTGCTGGATGCAAACTCCAAACAGGTCCAAACATGCATTTTCGCGTCCGGGAAAAAAGCAGCCGTGTTCAAAGGCTTGCTTCCGTGGCCGGACGGCCATGGAGAAAGCGGTGCTGCTTTCGGTCTTCCCGTTTCGTGAGGCACGTGAACTGAAGCAAAATGCGAGAGAGTTCATCTTTCAAGAGATACTGTAATTCATGAAGTGCTGCAATCAGCATCTTGCTTGACGCAACATGATGCCCATACAGATCCATACAGTATATATATAATATATATATATATATATTTGCTTGCTCCTTCCATGCCAAGCACCGGACCTTTGCTCTGCTGCGCTCTTGCTCCAACTCTGCAATCTTGGCATTGGCGGCCTGGTGCGGGTGGGAGTTTCCACCGAATTGGTACCTTTCCAAGACCAAAAAAAGAAAACATCAAAAAGAAAACTACGTGAACCTCCATCTCTTCAGCCTTTGCCACCCGCAATCTGATAGCTTCCTGGCCCGGCCGAAGCGGGCCCGATTTCAAAGCGGGAACCGTTGCTCCGTTGCTCCCCTTATACGGAGGGAACCTACCCACAGCTCCGATTCGTCGCTCCGCACACCACCGGGGGCGGCACAGAAACCGGTACTGCGAAAAGCGCCGTCCTCAGCCTGGAGTCTGTCCCGCTCAAGCTCCGCTATCTTGGCATGGGCTGCCTGGCAAAGGGGATCTTTCAACAGGGTTTGATTGATGGTTTCATTGATTTGATTCAATTCTCAGAACTTGGAGGGCGTTGGTGTCAGAACTCCTGCGTCTCATCTTCTCCTCCATACACCGCTGTCCCGCCCTGTCCTGGAGTTCTTCATCATTCTCAGATTGAGCTGCGGCCAGCTGTGCTCTGAACTTCTCCTCCGCTTCCAGCCAGGCAAAGTGACACAACCGACTGCCCAAAGAAACAAAAGTGCATCAAAAGAGGTGTCTCCAGTCAATGCCTAAAAGATTGTCTTATAGCGCAGGAAAAAGGATCAACAGCTGCTGCTGACAACCCTAAATGCCCCTAACTCTATAACCATCTGCAACTCAAGCCTCAAGCCGCAGCAAAACAAAACAACTCCAAGGATTGGGCAGGCCTGCTGCTCCTGCTCTCTTGCTTTCAGGGAGCGGATTCTCGCCTGGCAGTGCATGATGTGATGACTACGGTTGTGTGCTCTACTTATAGTGGATTGAGAGTAAATAGCACAATCCCCAGAAGGTTTATATGGACCCTCATGAAATCATCAGCACATCTTGGGGTGCAGTGCCATCGAACCTCTGAAACAACGCCCTCTCCTCCGCCCTTTGGCGCTCTTGCTCCAGCTCTGCCAGTTGGGTGACGTCGTCGTGCTCGGAGCGGCGGCTCTCCTCCAAATGGTTCATGGGGGATGGATAGACATGTGCTGTGAAGCCGTGACGGATGGATGGCTCTAATATAGTACCAGCCTTATCATTACCCTGCACCTTGAAGCTCTGCTTGAATGTTTGGTTGAAAGTGGCTTCAAGTGCAGTCCGAAGCACCACAGTCCTCAGCCTTGATTCGTTCCCTCTCCAGTTCCTCCATCTTGGCAGTGGCCGCCTGGCAAAAAATGTTCGGCAAGGATGTGCGAAATGTCTGGCCACTGCTTCGATTGGGGTAAGGCTTGATCCTAGCAGCCAGAAAACATGTATGGTCACTTCGTACCTTCAGGGATGCTGACTCAACGTTGACAGCATACAAAAAACGATGCAAGACATTTGAATGCTCAAGCTACCCCAGCTTCATGTTTTTGGTGACTGTGAAGAACATTGTCCGCGTGCCATGCGAATTCAACATCCTTCTGTCCTGGAGCTCTTTATCATTCTCAGATTGCGCTGCAGCCAGCTGTGCTCTGAACTGCTCCTTCGCCGCTGCAGGCCAGGCCAACATATAGCGAACCGTCACAAAAACAAATCAAAAAGTGTGTCAATCAATCCTATGATTCCTATGTATATAATTGTATATATATATATATATCATCCTGAATCCTATAAGTTGTGTTCTATCAAACAGGCCACCTGGACGTTTCCCCCGCAATCGGCACGATGAAACAATCGTGAGACCTGCTGCTGCTGATCTCTTGCTTTCAGTGATCTGATCTTCGCCTGCAGCCACATGCATCATTTTTCATACTTACTCATCCAACCAATGGCACGATCTTGACAGTCTCGATAAAAAAGAGCTCAGTTCTATGAGCTCTGCTAGAAGCTAGCTTGTTGGGCTTTACAATTTGCTGTGGCAACTTTGTGTTTGTTTTTGTGTGTTTCCTTACGTTTCCGTAATGATTTTGACCCAGTCCTCTGCCCTGCTGCGCTCTTCTTCCAGTTCTGCCATCTTGGCGTTGGCAGCCTGGCCAGCCAGCCCCCCACACGTCCCAGGTTTTGGACTGAAGATGAATGAAGCACCCTTGCACCTATCAAATGACATCAGTTACACAAAAACAAACTTACTCCAGAAAACCAATTTGGTCATATGAACTTGAACCAGGTGCGATCATGGTCCATCATGGTCCTGTCACTGTTCGGGGGAGGCAGGTATCATCATCTCATCATGTGCAACTCATTCTTGCATGAAGACAGCGTGGTCGCCCGAGATGATTGCTTAAAATGTGCTTAGCAAATTTGGCCTCATTGCCACCTAGAGTTTGGGCAACTGCTTGCCGTACGGTATTGCAGGGATGCGCAGCATGGTCCAAACACATGTGAACAGTTCGTGCTCTGTTCGGTCGTCGGCCTGAGCCCAAGGGCTCAGCAAACCAAGGACACTCAGGTATCATCGTTTGACGTGTTTCATGCCGTTTCACGCCTGCACTTCTTCACGGTTCTTGTTTTGGGCATGGGCCAGCCGTGATTTGAAGCTCTCCTCCACAGAACCCAAGCTTTCTATAGCTGCGCTTCGTCGATCTCTGTTGTCGTGCGCCATGCAATATCCAAAATTATATGTCAGTCACACAATCCAACGACATTAAGTTGCAATACTGTGCTGTCTGATATTTCCAGCTCTCAACATCCGGCCGATACGACAACGCCCTCAAGCTCGTGAGACGACGCTGTCCTCGGCTTTGATTCGCTCCCGCTCAAGCTCTTCCATCTTCGCATTGGCAGCCTTGAGAACCAACTCTGTCCATGGGTCAGTCAATCCTCCAACCCCAACCTGTCCGTCCCCTGTCCTGGAGTTCATCATCATTCTCAGATTGAGCCGAGGCCAGCTGTGCTCTAAAGTTCTCCTTCCATGGCGGAGCAAGCGGGCGAATGTGAAGTGCGACTGCCAGAGTCATCAAGCCGAGCAGTTACAGCTGCACAAGCCGTTCGAGCCTGTTGCTGCTGCTCTTTGGCTTTCAGTGACCTGATCCTGGCCTGCCAAAGGGTGCAGCAAAGTGCATCAGACGTGCAGGGTTGATTGGCTTTCTTCCCATTTCTCCCCATTTCTGCTTCAGGAAGACCTTGGTTATCTTCTTCATGATTGACAATTCATCAATCAAGATCCATCAGCATTTGGCCCCCGGTCCTCTGCCCTGCTGCGTTCTTGCAACAACTCTGCCATCTTGGCATTGGCAGCCTGAAGGCAAGGGACGCACAACGAAAGAACAAAAATGAACAACGTACATACTATAGTGAGGTATGTCAAAGTGAGCCAATGTCAGCCATAATTCTCGTTCCAACATGTGGTCCAGTCACGTGGACAAACAACACTCTCAAGGTTCAGTTCTTGCTGGATGCACAGGCAAACACACAATCAAACTGCGTTTCACTGCGAACCTGCACTTCTTCATCGTTCTCGGATCGGGCATCAGCTAGCCGTAATCTGAAGCTCTCCTCCACGGCATTCAAGGGAAACAATCCAGCTTCAGTTTAAAATGATTAAACACTTGCGAGCGCTGAGAATGCAGTCCTCCGCCTTTATTCGTTCCCGCTCAAGTTCTTCCATCTTGGCATTTGCAGCCTGGTTTTGAAACATCTTTGCTTGGATGCGAATCAATTGTGGCGTGAGAAGTCACGAACCAAAAAGTCATTTGACCGCGTAAGTACTGTAGGTTCCCCTTAGAAAACAAACTCCCGTGCCGCATCGTCCGAAAATACAATTCTCCTGTGCTGTCCTGTCCTGGAGTTCTTCATCATTCTCAGATTGAGCTGCTGCTAGCTGTGCTTTGAAGCTCTCCTGCCAAGCTGGTTGCTTGAAAAGAAATTACATTTAGTCACACAGCCAAGGCAAACAAGGATTAAAGGTCCTCTCACAAACAGATATGCTATCTCATTTGGAATGGTCAAAGCAAGAGAAAACAAAAATTGCCCTGCGACTTGGAATGCAATATTTGGAGCCTGTTGCTGCTGCTCTTTCGCTTTCAGCGACTTGATCCTTGCCTGCAACAATTTGCTCGACTCCGATTTCTGCTGGGTCTGGCTTTTGGTTCTCCATTGTTTTCTTGTGGTTTCGGTGCCAATCCTCTGCGCTTCTGCGTTCTTGCAATAGTTCTGCCATCTTGGCATTGGCAGCCTGACAAGGGGGACACAAAACACAGGTCAGGAAGGTATTGAACGTGCGGTCCAGTCGCATCCAAAAAGTAGGGTCAAACAAACAACACGCTCTCAAGGTTCAGTTCTTGATGGATGCAAACGCAAAAACATAATCAAACTGCACTTCATACTGCCAACCTGCACTTCTTCATCGTTCTCTGATCGGGCTTCGGCTAGTTGTAGCCTCAAGCTCTCCTCCATCGCATTCTAAGGAGACAATCCAGCTGCACTTTACTATGTCGATTAAACACTTGTGAGCGCTGAGAATGCAGTCCTCTGCCTTTATTCGTTCCTGCTCAAGTTCTTCCATCTTGGCATTCGCGGCCTGGTACTGAAACATCTTGGCGGTATGCTGTATGCTCAATAATCTTTGCATACCATACAGTGTAATTTTCCGTGCTGTCACCGCCCTGTCCTGGAGTTCTTCATCATTTTCAGATTGAGCTGCGGCCAGCTGTACTCTGAAGCTCTCCTCCCATTGGTTGCTCTGAAGTGAGATTCACACGACAACGGCGCAGAACAAAGAACTTATTTCAACAAAAGCACGCGCGCCGTACCGCATGGAATCGTCAAACGTGCAAACAACCACAGTGTTACCCATGTTGCCCTGCGACTTGCCCCTTGCCACAGTGAATGCAATATTTGGAGCCTGTTGCTGCTGCTCTTTCGCTTTCAGCGACTTGATCCTTGCCTGCGAATGATGGACGTGAGTATGGATGAGAAGCGTGGTGTGGGTCGCGCATGGTTGCACCAGCACACTCAAATTGCCTATGCATTTATATATATATGTACAGTATTGTACAGTCATAGTGCTTTTTCTCTGGTGCTTTTGGAACAGAAGGTTCATTCCCCGTCAATCCCAGTCCTCTGCCCTGGTACGTGCTTGCTCCAGCTCTGCCATCTTGGCGTTGGCCGCCTGACAAACTGGCAAAGCAAATGCATGCAAAGAAACATGGCGGGTGATTGGCATAAATAAAGGGTCGAGGCACACCACGCACATTCCAGTGGAGGTTCGAGCTAGCAAAGGAGAAACAGTATGGTCTTTAGGGCAAAAGCGCGTCCTTTAGCCAAAGGCAAGAATGAACAGCTACTCAATGAGACAGTTTGACCAAGCGTCCTGCACTTCTTCATCGTTCTCTGATCGGGCATCGGCTAGCTGTAGCCTGAAACTCTCCTTCACGGCATTCCAAGAACAGAATCAGGCGGTAATTAATTGTATGCTGCGCTATATATCGCGGCTAAGGCAGTCTTCTGCCTTTCTTCGTTCCCGCTCAAGTTCTTCCATCCTGACATTGGCTGCCTGGCAGGATGCAAATCAAATGTGGTTTGCATGTTTGCATACCATATGTAGTCTAGTTGATTACATTGACCGCTTAGTTACTGTAGGTTCGCCTTAGACAACAAACTCCCGTGCCACATCGTCCGAAAATATAATTCTCCCGTGCTGTCCCGCCCTCTCCTGGAGTTCTTCATCATTCTCAGATTGAGCTGCTGCTAGCTGTGCTTTGAAGCTCTCCTGCCAAGCGAGTTGCGTGAAAAAACATGCCATTTAGTCACACAGCCAAGGCAAAAAATGATTAAAGGTCCTCTCACACACAAAAAAAACACAAACATATGCGCTGCTATCTCATTTGGAATGGGTCAAAGCAAGAGAAAAAAAGTTGCCCTGGGACTTGGAATGCAATATTTGGAGCCTGTTGCTGCTGCTCTTTCGCTTTCAGCGACTTGATCCTTGCCTGCAAATGGTGGGCGTGAGCATGGGTGAGAAGCGTGGTGTGGGTTGCGCATGGTTGCACCAGCACACTCAAATTGCCTATGCATTTATATATATATATATATGTACAGTCATAGTGCTTTTTCTCTGGTGCTTTTGGAGCAGAAGGTTCATTCCCCGTCAATCCCAGTCCTCTGCCCTGGTACGTGCTTGCTCCAGCTCTGCCATCTTGGCGTTGGCCGCCTGACAAACTGGCAAAGCAAATGCATGCAAAGAAACATGGCGGGTGATTGGCATAAATAAAGGGTCGAGGCACACCACGCACATTCCAGTGGAGGTTGGAGCTAGCAAAGGAGAAACAGTATGGTCTTTTAGGAAAAAGCACGTCCTTTAGCCAAAGGCAGGAATGAACAGCTACTCAATGAGACAGTTTGACCAAGCGTCCTGCACTTCTTCATCATTCTCAGATTGGGCACCAGCTAGACGCAATCTGAAGCTCTCCTGCAGCTCGTTCTTCGATGAATCAATGGCTGTAGTATTATTTTGAGGCTTCCCGGGATTCGTCTCTGCTCACGTCTCTGATGCTCTCAAATTGGCGAAAACAACCTGCTGATCTCGAACCCCTCGATGGCTGGAACCCCTCAGTCCTCGGCTTTGACTCGCTCCCGCTCAAGCTCTTCCATCTTGGCATTGGCGGCCTGAAGCAGCCGCAGTCTAACACAGTTATATAAAGAGGATCGATAAGGAGCCGTCCTCTGAATGGCCGTATTTGACTTGCTTCAAAAAATGTTCAACAATGGGATATCCTGATGGCTCCAAGCACAATAGAATGGTCGTTTGTGGTAGTCGCCTGGATCACTTAAGTTCAAATGTGAAATCTTACAACTCCGCCCCCCCCCCCAAAAAAAAAAACAAGACGCACACACACACAACATCCAACACCAAACAATGGCACAGCTCGTATGACAATACACCTGCTTGCCAAAGCACATGAATCTGCTTACCCCCACCGGAACTTCGAGAACACGCTTCAAGCAAATGAAGACTTGCAGCACTCTCGAAAACCCATCAAACCGTACAAACCAAGTGAAGCTCAATGTGTGTTCTTCACCAACATGTCACAACGATGAGTATGAGTGCATGCTCATGTCGCACTCATGTCCTCCTAGCTGGAATTGGGCTCTGCGGATGCGACACATCGTTGCACTGACCGGCCCTGTGGATCTGAAGAGCCAGATGTGCGTTTGAAACTGCGGCAAAACGATTGTAGCAACTCTAGGTCAGTCAATCCTCCAACCCCAACCTGTCCGTCCCCTGTCCTGGAGTTCTTCCTCATTCTCAGATTGGGCGGCGGCCAGCTGTGCCCTGAACTTCTCCTCCAATGGGCAATGGCCAACGCACCGCCAGCAAGAATGAAACTCAACTGTTGGAACGCTTATTGTGTCCATGTCGATCCATCAAAGCTCACTCAGCATTTCAAACGGTACTACGCTGGAAGATGCTGGAAGCAATGGCCACGTCTTGTAACGTTTTGTTGCTTGGCCTGCTGCTGGTGCTCTTTAGCTTTCAGCGACAAGATCCTTGCCTGCCAGGGTGTGCAGCGTACGAATTGGGCAAACACCCATATTTATATACCATCTATATCCATCTATGAGAGAGCTTCATGCAAATCTGGACGGGCTCCAGTCCTCTGCTTTGATGCGCTCCTGCTCGAGCGCCGCCATCTTGGCATTGGCCGCCTGGTCGAAGTCACGCCATGCTTGTTGAATGTATGCGGTAGTGGAGCTTGAACTGTCCAACAACTCACACACTCTTCCGCTAAGGACTCTTGTTCGAGATTCATCCGCGCCACATGGGTTCAAGCTCGGATGTTTTTCGATCCCAAGTGTTTTGGAAGGCAGCTGAGAAAACACTTGAAGGGCCACACAGATTGGTCAACTTGTTCATGGCCCCGGCTTAGCCAGTGCCCATGAGAGCTGCAAGTGCCCTTGAGAGCTGCCGGCCGTCTCACCTCGACTTCCTCATCATTCTCTGCATGGGCTGCAGCCAGCTGCGATCGGAAGTTCTCCTGGAAGCCGATGTGTAAAGCGACTGTTGAACTCAACCATTCGATAGTCTTGACCAATTCAACTTGGAAGCATCAACATGTATCAACATGTAAAATCAGCAGCACAATGCAGCACATCTGCAAGCCAAAACTGATAACTTGTCTTGAAGGTGTCTGACGTTATCCGCCTGCTAGTGCCATCAGATTGTCATTGCAAACGGCACCACGTGCTGAACACCCCAAAAAATGATCTGGCAATAAACCAGCCTTCCACTAGTACTATAACCACCCCACCTGTTGCCGCAAGTCTTTCTCTTTCAGGGACTTGATCTTTGCCTGCGAAGGCTTCAAAGTCGCTGTTCCATGCTTTTCCTACATCTTTGACACTTGTATAGACTACAGGCCTCAAGCTGCAAAACCCTGGATAAATCTTGATAACATATCATATCTTCTATGACGTTCGGTGAGCAAGTCTTCTGTGTGGCCACTACATTGGACAGGTTCCCCGATCGTTCCTATCATGGAGCATCTCCGGCATAAGAATAGTACACTCTAAAAACATTCATCAGTTGTGATGATTGTACACGTTGAAATCACTCTTACATATGTGGAACCCAAACATGACCCTCTGTTTTGAGAGGAAAAGACCCCTATTTTGGGTGGTGCAATGTGGTTCAAAATCAGAGGTCATGACCAGGTTGGAGTTTGATCTCCGGTCCTCTGCTCTGATTCGCTCTCGCTCAAGCTCCATCATCTTGGCATTGGCAGCCTGTCCAGGTTGGAGTTGAATCAAACGCATCACACGATGGACCCCAAGGCTTGTGAAAACCATGCAACATGTATCATACTTTGTAGGCTCTGAGTTGCTTCGTCGGCAGACTCGGAGTTTCCCCCAAAAAGGGGAGCTTGACCGGGGGTTTCACCAAGAAGCCTCCCAGCACTCTTCCATGGGTTTTGTTCTCGGTCTTCCATGGGCATCGGACCTATTCAACTTCACGGGACTCCCCGACTCGGCTGCCTGAACTTCCGCGTCGTTCTCGGAGTCCGCCGCAGCCAGCCGTGACCGGAAGTGCTTCTGGCGGACCCGGAGAGAAGGAGAGCCACCGTTCAGCAGCAAAATCACAGCATCTGGAGAGAAGCTCTGTCTTAGGTCCATCTGAACCCCTTTCGAAGCCATTGAAAATTCCCTCATGAAGATGGGATCAATACCAACTGGTCGACTCGGACGTCCCAATGGACGACTAGGAACGCCTTCCCCCAGGCCTCGGCCCTCACCCGCTCTTGCTCGAGCTCTTTCAGCTGGGCATTGGCTGCCTGGTCTGAATGCGTGGCCTCTGTGGAATTGCGGCTCTGGGAGGGAGGGACTCCCACTATTCCTGATTCCTGACACCAATTCTTCTTCTTCTCCATCGCCCTCTCAAGAGTTTAGCCGTTAGCTAAAGGCGAGCACACCACCCAATGCCAGGAGCAGTTTCTCAGCGGCCAAGCTCGGTGTACAAACAAATATCTGCCCAATTTGCCCAATGAGTGCCATTCAATCTCCATCGATCTCCATCCCAATCACAGCTTGGAATTCCTTGGAGTTCTAAAAACAGTCCCAACCTCCACTTCCTCATCATTCTCCGCTTGGGCTGCAGCCAACTGGGATCGAAAGTTTTCCTGAAGCCGCTGCAACGTGATCTTGTTTGTGTTGTTGGTGGGTCGGGCCTGGTGGGATGAATACACATCAATCATGGGAACAAATGAAACAAACACCTGCAAGATTCAAAGCAACTAAATTTATGTATATGCATGTATTGTTGGTGAAACGCGTTGAGAACCCACAATGAGGTTAAAGAAGGGAACAGAATCGGCCAAACACAAACAGAATGAGACCACATAATATCAGGCGAGGATATGTGAACTTTGCACCACAGGTTTCAGAACGACATGAACATATATATATATATAACTAAATATATATATATATAATATACTGTATACTAGGCAAAGAGCAAAGGGGGGCGACGACAAAGTAAGTGTAGATGATGAACCAACAAAACATGAGAAATAGCCCTTTTTATTGATCGTCTATTTCTACTCGCTATTTCTACTCGCCCTATGCCTGTCTTGTGCGGGATGTTGATTCGATTTTGTTACCCTGGACCCTAGAACATAAAACCGCTAGCAAATGATGTGTTGTACCACTACACCTTCAACCACACGAAGCGACTGCATCGCAGCAGGGGCATCGGCCTGTTGTCGTTGGCACCTCTCTTCGAGCCTTCTAATCTTCACCTTGTGTGAGCACAGGTGGCCAAACCAGTCATAACCTACCTCCGCCGCAGGCCGCAGGCACTGCATCTTGCATGTCCATCCAAAATGGTGTATATGAGACCTCTTCTTGCAGCTGGTTTTCAGGCCTGTGCCACTTGACAAGTTACAAAACTAATAGGGAAAGTCCACCCTAAGCCACACGAGGTAGACGTTGCTTGCCTTAATGGAAAGTAGCTGAGTGTCTGGGGAGACATGTAGACATCCGATGCGAGGTGTTGGAAGGGACGCTCAGGCTTGGGCACTCAGGTGAAACTTCTGGAAGTCTGCAAGGGGGGAGGACGGGGAACTTCAGGTCTGGCACGACCGACTCTGTGGCTTTGGCCCACTTTGGGGCGGGTTCCGGGGGGGGATTGGTTTCGAGCCAGCGCGAGTCGGGAGGATTGGGCATTGTACAATTGGTAGCCCTATAAGTCTGAGTCCCAGCTTGATACTGTTGAAAGTGGAACTCTGGTTCTGGCATGTTCTGATTGCTTTGGTGTTGTTCTGGTTGTGGGTCAGGAGGATGCGGCAACAGCTTTGATGCTGGTTGACGCCTCAGCCCGCGCGAGCAATTAAGGGAGACGCGTGTCTGGCCGGTGAGACGTGTTGGTTAGAAGGCCTGCGGCCGCCTACCTCGAGGTCATAACGAGTGAGATCCACATTTGCATGGTCTAATCCCGTGATGAGAACGATTTAGAAAAACGACTTAAGAAAAATAGACTTTGAGGAACAAGGACGCTACTAGGTGGAGGCCATCACTAATTGCCTTAGTGTTCTGCTTGGGAAATGCAAGGGGCGGGCGACGGGGACAGTATGGTATGTGGTTGCCCTGCCGAGGGGTGAATCGCTGGCAATGGGAGCAAGTGCCATGGCGCAAAAAGTGAACGAATGCCACCAGCCAGGAAACTTTACACGGCATCACATGTAATGTGAGTGAGAAATAGTAATCAAAGATCCTGGCTCGGGTGCAAGCGCGTGTGGCTGCTGCCATGTTTCATTTCGTCTCAATGTGCTCAGAACCTCGAAATCAAAGTCTTTCGTTAAGCATTTCTAGTTAGCAAGTATCTCCAAATCATCGCAACTCCACTGGGATTCAGTTTCGGTGGTTATTCTCTCTGGTTTTGCAGAAACAGGGAGATCATGTCATGAAAAAAGGATGAAAAAGGCCTCAAATGTTGGAAGTGTTTCTGTGCTTATTCATGCAGCAACGAATCCAAATCACTGGGGTGCACCTGAAATCACCGTTGAAGGGAGAAGGCTAACCCCCCCCACACACACACCCTCAAAACCGCCTAACCGAAGCAACGGAACAAAGGCTACACTAGCAGCCGCTCTAAGCTAGGCTTCCATATGGTTTACATGGCTGCGGAACGAACAAATGAATTAACTTTGAAAGCAACCGACCGAACAGTCCGTAGAAGACCTACTTTTTAAACAACATGTAAACACGTCACAACGCTTGTGCACGTGAACAATATCATCTATGGTGAAATGAACACGTATGCCCACGGAGCACAAGACATTGTGAGCTGCACGCACACACGTAATTGCCCCCAACTCCCAACACCTTACACCGTACACCCTCCACCCACACATGGCCGACAGCAGGACTGAATGCAGGACCACCGTGATCAATGAGTGCATTAAGAGGCACTGACTGTCAGTGACTCTATATAGACATGCCTCTCCCAATCGAGTGGTCCAGTAAGCTTGCTTGAAGGTGATGTCGGCTACAGATTGCTCATCAGGTCATGGATCGTACAGTAGCTTCCAATGCAGCAAAGTTCCACTTGTTTCGAGACGGTTCAAGGCTTGCCGTAAAACATGTCAATGTTGTTTTCATGGTCCCCACTGCAAGGCCACTAGTGAACTAGTGATTCCATGTGCTTCCAAAGTACCACCACACTTGGGATCGGTCAAGACCTATTGGGCCATTGTTGAGAGACAAACATCCAGAATCCTGTCTTTGTAACATTATCTGTACAGTGGTTTCAGAGTAGAATGGCACAAACCCAGAGATGTCTTTTACATGGTGGGTACTCTAAAACCACCTTTTGGAGATTGTGTCATGTACTCTTAAAAGCATTGTATATATCGCCTCTTCCTGGGTTCTTCATCCCACATCAACTTACGCCGTTTCCACGTCGGCCTCTGAAGCCCTCAGGAGTTCCTGCTGTCGCTTCACCTTGATGGCCTCGGTCGAACCACCCACGGTAAATGGGCAATCCATGTAAGGTGGAACCACCACGGATGACGTGGAGGTCTGGTAGTTTCAGAAGGACTAAACAAAACTCTTAATAGTAAATATAGGCAAACGGCAGATCGATTGTCATGGTGCGCTTTCTGCAGAGACCGCACCATACCGCATCTGAACGTCAATGTAGAAAACAGAAAACACATGCAGTAGATTTAAAGTGCCTTCATGCCAAACGTGAAATACGTCAACAACCGTTTTGACTCACTGCTATAACAGCCGTACCTGGCTCAGAACTGAGGTTCTCGGCCAAACCTTCCGCAGTCTTTAACTCCTCCTCTTCTCCTCGTTGGGCCTAGTCGACGTCTCGCAGAGTCTGCCCAGGTCTAAGTCAATCTGGGACCTGAAAACACAAGAACTGTTCAACAAGACCGGGTCACGCCCCCTTCTGGCGCTACGCGCGTTTGGACTACAGGTGGGTTCCGGATTGCTCAATTAATCTCAATTAGTGGGTATATCGGTATATCATGTGGTATATCGGTATATCCCATTACCAGTAACAGTGGACATGATGGTTAGCAAAGGCCTTGATCCAAAAACATGATCATCGTTGACCGACTGTTGCTGGTATTGGGGCAAGGCCTGGCAATAGTATTTTGTTTTGGCATGTATCATGTAGCAAAATGTAGCAACAATAGTAATCCAATGTAATCAATTACAGCAAAGGCCGGCAAGTTGCCTTCAGTGTTCTAGTCTTCCAGGGTGCCGACCAAACCTCCAGGCAAACTATGTGTACTATGTTTCTTCGCTGAGCAGCTCCTCTTGTCAAAGAAACCTCTTCGTGCGGACGAAGGGCTCGACCTCCCACGAGTTCGGCACACACACGGTCTCCCCACGCCTGTATGGCTCGCATGACCCGGGTCAGGGTCAAAGACACCGACCAAGCGGCAACTTCCTCAGCCACCTCCTGTAGCACGCGACCCGGCAAAGAGTAGCTGCTATCAGCTGCAAACCAATGATTGTTGGATGATCATCTGCAGATCTGTTGCAGGAAGAACAGCACAAAACACAGGAAATCATTGGGTTCCAAATGGAATGGAACATCTATAAAGGGCCGCAGGGCCAGTTATTTGTTGTTAGAGTTGCTCCGTCCCGCGTTTGTGCCTTCCACCCACACCCCACCCACGCCCCCAGTCTCCCGCTCGCTGGCATAGATCCCGACACCCTTCAGACGGCGCTGCTTGAGCATCGGTGGTGCTGGGGACTGCTTGTGAAGACGCTCTTGGCAAAGATGCAACCTGAGCGACTGAGTGATACTGAGTAGCGAACTGAGAAAAGCAACTCTGCACCAGCTCTGCCGCGGGCAATTGACCAGAATCTTTTAGCAACATCATCCAGAAAAATATGGAACTATATAATGAGTATCTCACAAATTCAGGTTTCCAGGCCATGCTTTCACCAAGGGATTCAACACACACAATGAATGAAAAACGGTCCACCCGGGAGTACGATCTGTGTCCACTTTGTTGGGCCGGGTTTCTCTCCACATTCCCCTAACCGCTTGTCCAAGAATCCCCTTGTTAGGGTGGTGCACTTGTTTGATTTTGATTTTGGGTCCATTTTCTTGGCAAACGGTGCAAAAGCGGCCAGGGCTGCCCACACCGATCTCTGCCAGCCTCACTGGGTTGCCCGACTCGGCTTGGGCCACGTCTAACAGGACCTGGGCTCAGCTCGGCCGGCTCGGTGTTTTGGGGCCGGGTCGTGGAGCGACACTGGAAGTCTCACCTTAAGTGTTCCAATTCCAATGCTTGCAGGGGGGGAAAGGGAGGGTAGGTCAGTTGATTCTAGGTCCTCCACAGGAGCATACCGATCCAAAAAGCCCCCTTCTGCATGAAATTCTGCCTAGTCTGCACATAGGAGCATAGTCATCCATAGCCTGCATAGTCTGAAGACCGTTTTGGACCCAAAGCGGAAAACCACGTCGCCACAAATGGCCGCGTGCACGACTTGTTGCCCCGAAGACTTGTGTCATTTCTTAGTCGACTTGTACGGAACTCCTTGCGCCAAGTTATTTATTGGATGAAAACACTGGGATGTGAAACATCATAACCCACCACCAAAGCACTCACAAACTAATACCAAACAATCACACATCCAGCTGCCTATAGCTGCCCCAAAAAAACATTTGCGACCAGGACCTCGCGAGCTGGACTAATCAAAGCCCAGTAGCCTTGCACCCTTCATATTCCTCACTCTTCTTTTTGAAGCTCGCCCTGTACTGCTCCGCTTCGGCCGATCGAAGTCGCAGCTCCTCGACGAACTGGGCCGCAATGGATGTACGACAACGCGGCGCCGCCCGGGCTATGCACCTTCATGTTGACAACATGGGTTCGCCTGCAAGCCTCACAGAAAAGTCCAATAGTTTTGAATGTGTTTCTTCAAGTTTAATCAATGTTGTGCCCAATGATGACTTCTTACTATTCAAAGGTGTCCCTCCTCTTACCAAACAAATTCACGTGTGTGGAAACACTGTGAGACAATCTTAAACAAGTTCTCTGAAGTCCGGCACGTGCCGCCGTGAAAATGGCCTGCAGCGTCCGTCCAATCCCTGTCGGTTCAGGTGATTTCCAATGGGACGTTGGTCGGGGCATGTGGCCGAACCCTCTGGCTGCCATGGATGGCCTGCCATGGTTGGAAAACAACATCTGTCTGTCAGGCCGGCCCTCCCATCACATCTACAGTAGGGAAACATCAACCTTGACTCATGTTCACATGGAATGACGTTCTTCCCAGGAAAGGAAGATCCGCTAGCTGAGCTGATCGGCTCCCCTCCATGTGGCTGCCCTGTTTGTTTCAAAAAGGATCACCCCCTCCCATCTGACACAGCACTCCTCTTGTAGGCGCTGGATCTCCTTCTGACCTGGCGACACATGTGGACACATGTGGTACCTAAAGCTCGGCGTCCTCAAGCTGTACAGTGGGGAATTCCACACAGTTCACAAAACGGGCAAGGCCGACTTCAAGAACATATAGACATCGTTAATGGAAACGCGCTGTTGCTACACTGAAGTCCATTAAGACTTATCAAAAATCCACCACATACCTTCAGCACGGTGGATCTCTTTTTCACCTTCCTCGGGTGGCGTTCGTCGCGACCCTCGGTCCAAGCAACCTTCCGAAACGTCGGGAGGAGGCTCTTCAGCTCCATCGCCTGGGGTGGCCGGGTCGTGGTTGCTGGCCGAACCAGGGACCATGTATTCTCATGCAGCATTCTGAAGTGTTAATGCCAATTTGAGAGAGAAACACGGTCATTTTTACAAGCGAACTCAAGGGCATTTCAACGGTGAACTTTCAGAGTGTCTGCCCAAAAAGGAACCATTGGCTCAAGCAAAGGTGCAAACATAACAAACAAACAAACAAACAAACAAAACAAACCCTTTTTCAGAGAACAAACAACCACATCAATCAGGATTTCAAGATTCAAAAGCCAAATCCCTTTCCAATAACCTGGCCCAGGTTTCCATGCAAGTCCTTTCTTCCACACATCGGCACATGGTGGCATGTGATGATAATCATGCTCCTTCCATCCTCTTCCAACTCCCAGCCTGGTGCGGCCAAACGCTCTGGCTCCATCAGGGCGGGGCTTTGGCCTTAGACGGACTTGCCTTAGACGGACTTGACTGCTAGACTTGGATGACTTGGGTTCTGAAGCAGAAACATGCCCAGAAATTACTCATGCTCCCCTCCGAATCCTCCCAAATCCATCCAAATCCGTCTTCCAGGACAACGACCTGGACTCATTCTTGGTCCCACCGTTGGTGCCCATTTCGAAACCTCCCCCGTCTGGTGACATGTACAGGTGCACGCCCAACCCAATGTGGAGTACAAATCATGCTCAACCAACAATGGTTTCACCTCACGAAGCCGTTGCCAATTGCCTGGCGACTTGGCCAGCCAAGCAGGTCCTGCCCCACCCGCTCTGAAGCAGGTCCTGGGAACCGGCGAGTTCAATCCATGGCAAGAGGCGTAGTTTGGGCGACTTCAACAAGGTTCCAGGCAAGGTGAGCCTGACATTTTGCAGCGGGGCCGGGGCCATAACCCAATCCCTTCGATCCCTCACAGGTCATGAGACCGCACAGGCCTCGGAGAGCGTCACCTAGTGAATCCTAATGCTACAGAATGATCGAATCACGCTGAACTCCGGTGTGGGTCGAACGCAAACAGGTAACACACCAGGAAAGGATCCCAGCTTAATTAAGTAGGTGGAGCTTAATTAAGTAGGTGGATCTAAACAAAGGAGCCAGCCAAGTCTGAAAAAGGGAAAAACAAGATGGAGCCCACGAACCCGAATGCAAACACGTTCGAAAAGCTACATATGTCCAAAAGACACTCTTGTGGGACACTCTTGTAGGGCACTCTTGTGGGACACTCTTGTGGGACACTCTTGTAGGAAACTCTTGTGGGACACTCTTGTGGGACACTGCTGTGGGACACTATTGTGGGACACTCTTGTGGGACACTCTAGTAGGACACTCTTGTGGGACACTCTTGTGGGACACTCTTGTGGGACACTCTAGTAGGACACTCTTGTGGGACACTCCTGTGGGACACTCATTTGGGACACTCTTGTGGGACTCTCTTGTGGGACACTCTTGTGGGACACTCTTGCAGCACACTCTTGTGGGACACTCTTGTGGGACACTCTTGTGGGACACTCCACTCTTGTGAGGCACTCTTGCGGGACACTGTTGCGGGAGACTCTTGTTGGACACTCCTGTGGGACACTCATTTGGGACACTCTTGCGGGACACTCTTGTGGGACACTCTTGTGGGACACTCTAGTAGGAAACTCTTGTGGGACACCCTTGTGGGACACTCTTGTGGGACACTCTAGTAGGACACTCTTGTGGGACACTCTTGTGGGACACTCCTGTGGGACACTCTTGTGGGACACTCTTGCAGCACACTCTTGTGGGACACTCTTGTGGGACACTCTTGCAGCACACTCTTGTGGGACACTCTTGTGGGACACTCTTGTGGGATACTCTTGTGGGACACTCTTGTGGGACACTCTTGTAGGAAACTCCTGTGGGACACTCTTGTGGGACACTCTTGTGGGACACTGTTGCGGGACACTCTTGTGGGACACTCTTAAGGGACACTCTTGTGAGACACTCTTGTGGGACACTGTTGCGGGACACTCTTGTGGGACACTCCTGTGGGACACTCATTTGGGACACTCTTGCGGGACACTCTTGTGGGACACTCCACTCTTGTGAGACACTCTTGCGGGACACTGTTGCGGGAGACTCTTGTGGGACACTCCTGTGGGACACTCATTTGGGACACTCTTGCGGGACACTCTTGTGGGACACTCTTGTAGGACACTCTTGTGGGACACTCTTGTGGGACAGTCTTATAGGACACTCTTGTAGGAATCTCTTGTGGGATACTCTTGTAGGACACTCTTGTGGGACACTCTTGTAGGACACTCTTGTGGGGCACTCTTGTAGGGCACTCTTGTGGGGCACTCTTGTGGGACACTCTTAAAGGACACTCTTGTGGGACACTCTTAACTCCTTGTGAGACACTCTTGTGGGACACGGTTGCGGGACACTCTTGTGGGACACTCTTGTGAGACACTTTTACGGGGCACTCTTGTAGGACACTCTTGTGGGACACTCTTGTAGGACACTCTTGTGGGACACTCTTACGGGACACTCTTGTCGCACACTCTTGTAGGACACTCTTGTGGGTCGCTCTTATGGGACACTCTTGTCGGACACTCTTGTGCGACACACTTGTGGGACGCTCTTGTGGGACACTCTTGTGGGACACTCATACGGGACACTCTTGCGGGACACTCTTGTAGGACACTCTTGTGGGACATGCGGGACACTCTTGTGGGACACTCTTGTGGGACACTGTTGCGGGACACTCTTGTGGGACACTCATACGGGACACTCTTGTGGGACACTCTTGTCGGACACTCTTGTGGGACACTCTTGTAGGAAACTCTTGTGGGATGGTCTTGTAGGACACTCTTGTGGGACACTCTTGTAGGACACTCTTGTGGGACACTCCTGTAGGGCACACTCTTCGTACGAGACTTCCTCCAAAAGTCACGCTGCGAGGCTGCAAGACGAGCGTTTCGTACGAGACTTCCTCCAAAAGTCACGCGTCAAGTCTCAAAAACGAGCGTTTCGTACGAGACTTCCTCCAAAAGTCACACGTCAAG